TCATTAGCTCTAATTAAAGAACCTCTCACCCTCTCAGATTTTCACCGCTCCGTTCATTTGTATAGCTTTATTATTTTTATCTTTTTACTACACTTACTAACACGTGCACATTACAAAGGAGCAATAGTTTGCGGAGGCATTCTAGAACGGTATATATTTTAGCTTTCAGTTTCTGTTTCATTATCTTAAAATTTATTCCGCTTTTAGTTTTATTCCCACTCTCGATTCCTTGCTAGCAGTCCGGTTAATTTAGTACCTTTAGTGGGTCTCATTTAATCATTAGCTCTAATTAAAGAACCTCTCACCCTCTCAGATTTTCACCGCTCCGTTCATTTGTATAGCTTTATTATTTTTATCTTTTTACTACACTTACTAACACGTGCACATTACAAAGGAGCAATAGTTTGCGGAGGCATTCTAGAACGGTATATATTTTAGCTTTCAGTTTCTGTTTCATTATCTTAAAATTTATTCCGCTTTTAGTTTTATTCCCACTCTCGATTCCTTGCTAGCAGTCCGGTTAATTTAGTACCTTTAGTGGGTCTCATTTAATCATTAGCTCTAATTAAAGAACCTCTCACCCTCTCAGATTTTCACCGCTCCGTTCATTTGTATAGCTTTATTATTTTTATCTTTTTACTACACTTACTAACACGTGCACATTACAAAGGAGCAATAGTTTGCGGAGGCATTCTAGAACGGTATATATTTTAGCTTTCAGTTTCTGTTTCATTATCTTAAAATTTATTCCGCTTTTAGTTTTATTCCCACTCTCGATTCCTTGCTAGCAGTCCGGTTAATTTAGTACCTTTAGTGGGTCTCATTTAATCATTAGCTCTAATTAAAGAACCTCTCACCCTCTCAGATTTTCACCGCTCCGTTCATTTGTATAGCTTTATTATTTTTATCTTTTTACTACACTTACTAACACGTGCACATTACAAAGGAGCAATAGTTTGCGGAGGCATTCTAGAACGGTATATATTTTAGCTTTCAGTTTCTGTTTCATTATCTTAAAATTTATTCCGCTTTTAGTTTTATTCCCACTCTCGATTCCTTGCTAGCAGTCCGGTTAATTTAGTACCTTTAGTGGGTCTCATTTAATCATTAGCTCTAATTAAAGAACCTCTCACCCTCTCAGATTTTCACCGCTCCGTTCATTTGTATAGCTTTATTATTTTTATCTTTTTACTACACTTACTAACACGTGCACATTACAAAGGAGCAATAGTTTGCGGAGGCATTCTAGAACGGTATATATTTTAGCTTTCAGTTTCTGTTTCATTATCTTAAAATTTATTCCGCTTTTAGTTTTATTCCCACTCTCGATTCCTTGCTAGCAGTCCGGTTAATTTAGTACCTTTAGTGGGTCTCATTTAATCATTAGCTCTAATTAAAGAACCTCTCACCCTCTCAGATTTTCACCGCTCCGTTCATTTGTATAGCTTTATTATTTTTATCTTTTTACTACACTTACTAACACGTGCACATTACAAAGGAGCAATAGTTTGCGGAGGCATTCTAGAACGGTATATATTTTAGCTTTCAGTTTCTGTTTCATTATCTTAAAATTTATTCCGCTTTTAGTTTTATTCCCACTCTCGATTCCTTGCTAGCAGTCCGGTTAATTTAGTACCTTTAGTGGGTCTCATTTAATCATTAGCTCTAATTAAAGAACCTCTCACCCTCTCAGATTTTCACCGCTCCGTTCATTTGTATAGCTTTATTATTTTTATCTTTTTACTACACTTACTAACACGTGCACATTACAAAGGAGCAATAGTTTGCGGAGGCATTCTAGAACGGTATATATTTTAGCTTTCAGTTTCTGTTTCATTATCTTAAAATTTATTCCGCTTTTAGTTTTATTCCCACTCTCGATTCCTTGCTAGCAGTCCGGTTAATTTAGTACCTTTAGTGGGTCTCATTTAATCATTAGCTCTAATTAAAGAACCTCTCACCCTCTCAGATTTTCACCGCTCCGTTCATTTGTATAGCTTTATTATTTTTATCTTTTTACTACACTTACTAACACGTGCACATTACAAAGGAGCAATAGTTTGCGGAGGCATTCTAGAACGGTATATATTTTAGCTTTCAGTTTCTGTTTCATTATCTTAAAATTTATTCCGCTTTTAGTTTTATTCCCACTCTCGATTCCTTGCTAGCAGTCCGGTTAATTTAGTACCTTTAGTGGGTCTCATTTAATCATTAGCTCTAATTAAAGAACCTCTCACCCTCTCAGATTTTCACCGCTCCGTTCATTTGTATAGCTTTATTATTTTTATCTTTTTACTACACTTACTAACACGTGCACATTACAAAGGAGCAATAGTTTGCGGAGGCATTCTAGAACGGTATATATTTTAGCTTTCAGTTTCTGTTTCATTATCTTAAAATTTATTCCGCTTTTAGTTTTATTCCCACTCTCGATTCCTTGCTAGCAGTCCGGTTAATTTAGTACCTTTAGTGGGTCTCATTTAATCATTAGCTCTAATTAAAGAACCTCTCACCCTCTCAGATTTTCACCGCTCCGTTCATTTGTATAGCTTTATTATTTTTATCTTTTTACTACACTTACTAACACGTGCACATTACAAAGGAGCAATAGTTTGCGGAGGCATTCTAGAACGGTATATATTTTAGCTTTCAGTTTCTGTTTCATTATCTTAAAATTTATTCCGCTTTTAGTTTTATTCCCACTCTCGATTCCTTGCTAGCAGTCCGGTTAATTTAGTACCTTTAGTGGGTCTCATTTAATCATTAGCTCTAATTAAAGAACCTCTCACCCTCTCAGATTTTCACCGCTCCGTTCATTTGTATAGCTTTATTATTTTTATCTTTTTACTACACTTACTAACACGTGCACATTACAAAGGAGCAATAGTTTGCGGAGGCATTCTAGAACGGTATATATTTTAGCTTTCAGTTTCTGTTTCATTATCTTAAAATTTATTCCGCTTTTAGTTTTATTCCCACTCTCGATTCCTTGCTAGCAGTCCGGTTAATTTAGTACCTTTAGTGGGTCTCATTTAATCATTAGCTCTAATTAAAGAACCTCTCACCCTCTCAGATTTTCACCGCTCCGTTCATTTGTATAGCTTTATTATTTTTATCTTTTTACTACACTTACTAACACGTGCACATTACAAAGGAGCAATAGTTTGCGGAGGCATTCTAGAACGGTATATATTTTAGCTTTCAGTTTCTGTTTCATTATCTTAAAATTTATTCCGCTTTTAGTTTTATTCCCACTCTCGATTCCTTGCTAGCAGTCCGGTTAATTTAGTACCTTTAGTGGGTCTCATTTAATCATTAGCTCTAATTAAAGAACCTCTCACCCTCTCAGAAAACTCCGTTTGGAGATATTCCTTATTACGCTCTAAGTTATTAATTTTCCTTGTGTTTGAATCCTTTCACTTTTTAACTGTTTTTAGTCTTTGTTATTTTCGGCCGATTTCTGCACTTTTACACTGGGTCATCATTCATAATTTCTGGGATTGAGACGACTTATATGAGCATTTAAGGAAGAGTTTGCTTGTCTGACTTACTTCATTAGACACTTCTGGTCAAGAACTGAACAAGAACCACATTCGAAGACTGGAACATCTGAATGACTCTGCAACCCAGGAATCAACTACTCAGTTATTATCGCTCAATAATCGGTTTGGTATCGACGTTACATACTTTATTATTATTTTTTTTTAAAAGCTGATTTTAGAAACCAGGGAATTAAAGTTACTGTCCCAAGGCTAACATTAAATCGCTGATTTTATTTATATATATCACTTTTTTTGTTCTTTCTTTTCCTTCAAAACATTCCAGTACATTGTGCAGAAAGTTGGAGATGAAGCCGTAGTACGTACATGTAGCATTGCACTGGATTGAACTTGCAGAGTGTGGTTTTTTCCAGTCTGCGCCGTGTGCTTATACAAATATACGCGGCGCAGATAGACTGGAGGAGATTGCACTGTGTAGGCTCTGGTGTAATGTGATATGTATGTACTACGGCTTTACAAATTTTGGAAGCATGTAGGGATATATTTCTGATACCAATCGTATATACTAAAAATACTCTAGCACAATTGTAACTGCAGTTTTACAGAACTCTAAATGCTTAATGAACACTCTTGCAGGTACCACCCGTATTCACACTCAGACCTGAGTTTAGTCATTTTCCAATACGAGATTGGGGACGGGTTCTATAAACAAACAAACAAACAACAACAAGTGTTTTACTCTTTTTCTGAACTCTAGAATCAAAGTCATAGTGATCATGGTGTTATAACTTAAGCATTAAGTACTGTTATGTGAATTTTTTTCACGGACATAATTATTGTCTAAGGTCTTCAGCGTGAAAGCAATATCCGTGACAATTATGTCCAATAAGGTAGTCATTTTGAAACATACAACCTCTCCTACTTCAATGATAATATTATTATTAGTGCGTGATCAAAAATCACACCCTTCACGACGTGCTGTATGCCTATTAAGTATGGTTCGGTCAGCCCGTCAGCCGTGATCTGTTCTGGGTGATTCCGGTATAAACAGATGACGTGCACAAAACACTATGATCAATCATCTCAGGACTGCACTTTAAATCAATTCTAAGGTCAATAATACGTTTAGGGAAGTATACCTGGGGTCCTTAGACTTAGAGTATCGAGCAGAAAATGCCCGTAAGTCCTTTTACTACGAACAATATAATAGCGTAAAATTCCTTGTAGTTGTAGGTTTATAACCTACCAAGACAAATATTTTACGATTATCACCCGTTAAAAAATGCCCAAAGTTCTCCATAAAATTATTGAGATTATTGGTTGAACTGTAGTTTTAGCTTATGCTATTGACATAGAAATAAACTATATAATTTATTCAATCTCATTCTATTATAGTATTATAATTCATTTTGGTGACGGAACATTTCACTCGTTAGCTTATGTAAATTTTGCGTTAAACAAATTTACTGATTTGTTTATAAATCTTAAATGAAGAATTTGGGGTTGTTTTAAAAAAGGTCATAAACAAATTTGAATTGGAAAATATAAAATAAGTCAACGAAAGCATCCAAGATACAGCAATGAAATCTATAGCGTACATAAAAATCAATAATATGAAAATGACTGCAATTTAATATTATGCAGAGCGTTAGCAACGGTATTATTATTGAGTAGACTCCAAAAATAAGTTTGTAGTAATGCAGTACACAAATTAGTCAGTTCCTTTCGACTAACTAAATAATAAATAACCATCCTCGACTTCGTTTCGTTATTTGAATATTATCATAATTACCAAAACCCAAACAATGGAAAAATGGACCACTCTATCCTGATATTGAGTTTTGGTCAACTTAAAGTCACTTTATAAATTATGTTCGGTAATAATTCCGATCGTCAGTTACTATAAGATATAAAATTATAACAGTTTTAGACGTCTTTAATACGATCAGCGTAAACATAGAATAAATAAATATTCCCAAGTATAACGAGTCACCAAAAGCCTTTGATGAAATTCAAACTGTTTCAACATTACTTTACTTAATAAAGGTTGCAATGTCAACTAAAAGTCAGTGTCAATGAGAAGTGAGTGCCACAGTAACTTTAATTCATGCGGAATTTATGCAATAAAATTGGGCGCCAGTTTTTTCTAGAAAATGATTGAGATTTCACTGTATATCATTATCCCTTTATCAAGTTTCCCCCCTTGTTTTAGCTAGGAATTGGTAGTTTTAGTGACCATTTTCTACTAGTTCAAATAAGTCCTTGAATTTCTTGGTATCCATTGGAAACAATTTATTGTCCGTAGCCGCTGTGATCTGCAGAATATCCAATCAAGTGAACCGGGAAATATGATCTGATTTCCTTTATCTATTTCAGGTTGTGGGATTTCACCCTCTCTTATCTGGTTGGAGCGAAGCGTGTGATGATTATAGTGTGCACATATGTCGACTGAAATGGGATTGTTTTTAGATATAATTATTAACTAAGAAAACGTTGTCAAATCAATTTTAATTATTCTAGATTAGGAAATATTTCCTTGAAAAGCTGCTGTAGAACAATTCATCAAGTAATGAAGCGATCTCAATTCATGACATTCAACTATACCTATCAAACGAACAATTCGTAATTTCGTAAAGTAACATCAATTAAAAACTAATGATAATTACCTTGACTTCGCCTCCGTCCACAACAAGTGAGATTCTGTACTCTGTACCGTCTGGAACATCAGATGGAACGTTGTAGGGTAACCTCATTATCTTTCTCCTTCCACTCTTCAGTCGAGCTGGTTAAGGACATATTTCAGGGAAAGATATAAACAGCTCTTATAAAATTGGTTGATAAATTTATTATCTATTATCAATATCATGAATTATCTGAAATTCAACGTAATATCTCAAGGATATCCTTTTGGCTTCACAATTCGCAATTCTCGCCGCCACATTAAGTGCGGACATTGTTGATAAGAACGATTAGTTATAAATGGGTGCTATTACTTACGGAAGAAGAGAGGTGAAGACTGGGTGATGATGTCCCCAGGGTTGGAAAAGGACAGTCTAAAGTCAGTGATTTTCTCGCCAAAGTGCTGGAACTTGAAATGGAAATGACCCGAACTTCCAGGTTGGATCATACGATACTTTATCACCGATTTATGCTACAAATAAAGCATTGTTTGAGACAAACAAATTTACTAAGATTAAGGCATTGTTTGATACAATTAATATAACTTAATGATATAGATTTAATTGCTCTGAAGTATGAAAGCTGCATCAAATTTGATAAGACGAAAGGTTTAATTACCGCTTGTAAGCTGCCATAAGAAGGTGTTATAGTCGCTTGAGAGGTCCGAGTGAAAGGATTACCAGACTGAGTCTCACCATATACCATCACTTTGAAGGACTCGTCGGGAACTGCAAATTAACAATTAATCAACAAATAGTCAACAATCAATTAACTTTAATATGAACTGAGTCAAAGCTGGTAAAGTAAATCTAGCCAAATAAAATCTTCATCGATGTAAAGAGATTTCAATGGAATTCGACTTTGAGGAACCATACCTATGAAGACACCATCATACTGGTAATCGCAATCTTTTGAGATCGACAAAGTCTGAATTGTAGAGATAACATTTCCCTTGGTGTCTACGAGGAAGACGATACTTCGGTCAGGTTTGATGAGATCGGCGCCTCCAAGTATATTTAGTTTCAGCTTCATCGTTTCGCCTGTAGATAGAAAGAAATTTGACGATTAGATGTCTTAATGTGATAGTTAAACAATACTTTATTTTTCTACCGAAATATCTTTCTGATTTTTACAGATTCTGGTTCAGATTTTTGTCACATAACGATGGGACCCAAAATGATTATACACGTACCGCCATTCGCTGATCACTCAATAACTTTTGGAGCTAAGTAAGGAAATTTTATGAATTACTCATTTTTTAAAGGTAAATCAAAAGATTTCGATGAGAGGGAGACCGCGTACTTAATAAGTTTCATGTCGCGAAAAAATGTCAGAAAACCAACAATTCGACAAATGATCTGCTTTTCAAGGACGCCTCAACCTGTGTTCAAGAACAACATAGTAATTTGATAGCGCAAAACACGGATTCCTAAAATAGAATCCAAAGTGAGGGTCTTTGTTACAAACCTAGTTTAAGTAATCTGAGACTTTTAAAATCATGACTGTCTAGTTCTTGAGTGTCTGTCCATGCAAGCATTTGGAAAATAATAACCAATGACATTATCTGATTATCTATTTCATCCTGTTTACAGATAAATTTAGATCGAATATCCATGACATATTATATGGGGTAGCGGGCTTTGCTAAATCCCAGATCCATGATTTCGCAACTCACCTGGCGTGGCGTGCTTGGCTGGTACTAATTTCCCGGATTGTTGTTCCACTAAAAAGTAGAAATCAAAGTCGATGTTGGTTGGGCTAACCGAGTTTACTTTGTATGTAAACTTGTCCCCGATGTCTGTTATTGCCTGTAAAATGAGCACGCTGATCACTCTTTTAGCTTCAAACTGGGAGCTCCGGAAAGCCGCGGGGCGCGGTATTAATAGATTTTCAGTGGTATTTTAAATTTGGTAAATTATTAATTAATGTAGGAGTGGTGAATACCCCGAATTTCAACATCAATAGTTCATGTGTTATGACTTCCAATTTCTCCATTTGTGAAGGGTGACACCAAAGGGCCAAATAATAATCACTTTCCGGGATGCCCCATTGTAGAGACTAAAATCCCACACTTGTAAGGTTTGGGAGGCCGAAAACCAAATTCTTGGGAGTTTCCAGACAATGACCAATTCTCTTAGAAATCAAAAGAGGGTTCTCTTCCCTGCAACTGAAGAGATAATTTTTACCTTCAAAAGCCAGATGCCAGGTTGTGGCTTGTGAATTTCGTACAGCCGCATGTTGGTGACCGCGCTAACGAACTTGGGGATGATCAGATTGTCGTCCGGAGTTAACAGGTAGGAGGACCTGAAAAATTAGAAGTATTTTGTGAAATCTGAGGTTAAAATCTGGGTTAGGAGTTATGTCATTAGTGTCTGGCTTAAAATGGAGTGTGTGTCAGGAACTGTGATACAAAGTTTAAAATTTTACTAAAATAGGGTGAAAAAATGACGGTGGAATTTTCGATATCAATAATGAATAAAAATGGAAAAGTATTAAGCGAAGAAAGTACCCTGTATTAGTGCGGAAGTTAACAGTAACCACTAAAGTATCCACAGTGTCATCTACATCAAATTGGATGTTGTGTTTCTGTCCTGTGCCTCTTTTATCTCTACTTCCTTTCCCTGACCTCTCCGTGCCTGATGAGAAGGTTTTTGTGTAGAGGAAATAGCTTGCACCAGACCATCTGGCTATCATGCCAGCTTTCAGATTATTGCTGAAACTATACTGCTTGGAAATATTCAATGACAAAAAGTCTGCCTCTTAGTTACCACCATTTAGTGACCTTCAGATTACCAACTAATAACCAACACGTAACCAACAAGTAACCAACTAGTAACCAACTAGTAACCAACGAGTAACCAACTAGTAACCAACTAGTAACCAACTAGTAACCATCTAGTAACCATCTAGTAATGATAGTAATCACCGACTAGTGACTTCCTGGTTGCACTGGTTATCTTCTAGTTACCCAATTACAACCTGAACCACAAATGTACGCCATTTTACAATATTAATAATATTTTGTACGGGGTTCACAATTTACCACGTACGGTTTTATGACATCTTAAAAAAACTCCGTTAAACATTTATTCAATATTATTTATAACGGAAATATAAATAACATTTTTAAAGAGTCAGTGAAAAATGTTATTTTTGTAAAGAATTAGACAGTTTAGACGGCTTCAGATTTAGGCGAAGTTAGCTTTGGAAATTCTCCAACACACCTGATATAATATCTGCCCTCCCAACACCGGTCGATCTGACGAAATCGCTCATATTTCTGATTTCTTCTTTATCTAGCAACAGTACCTGTGAGGATAACAGGTAAAACAGGTTACGTCACATTGGAATGTTCGCTATGGGCAGCAGTCTACCACTCACATAATCAAGAGAGGGTGATTCTGCGATCCTAGCAATATAAATACCCTACTGGAGACATACAGCCTTCCTGAGTGTGCGATCATGACAATTAGACTTTCGATCATTGCTGTTGAAGTGACCTCAATGAAGCTCAAAAACCGCTTTTGGTTATGTTCAATGACCTGGATATCACTGAATAGGATGAATATCATGCACTGTGTTGTGAGAATAAGCGACGAGCATATTTTGATAATCCCTTTGTGATTACGAAATGGACTTAGGATGATTGATTGACGTATGTAGCACTGATCGGTGCTACAATCGGAGACAACGGGATATTATTTTGGGTGATCTGGTATGAGTTCGATATTTCCTGGAGCGAAGCCAGTTGGGCGTATGTATTCATGGGCCCTTGCTGGCTTTTCAGAAAAAATGTTCATTATGTTCATTTATTGCTTTAATATATATCCACAGCATCGCGTGAGCGTAGTTATATCAATGACTCACAGAAATCACTACAAAGTGGATCTCGCCAGCGTGCTTTGATTGAATCTCAATAGATTTCTGAGGAACTGATCTAACCTGGCCGGATGTTTCTAGAGCTAGATCTTCGTATTCTGATATGTCTTTATCACACTCGGGGCTTGGAGTCAGGAAAAAGTATAGAGGCGAGTACAACATCTGAAAATGTTTAGTTTGAGATAGTAGACAGAGGTTAGTAATAGTATAATAATAAATATGCACCTTATTTCAAAAATAATTTCTCTCGAAAAGTAATGGGTAAACTCGCTTAACTACCATGACTATGAAGACTGTGTAAAAGCCTATCCTGTGCATAAATATGCACCTTATTTCAAAACCAATGAATAATAGAGTCCTAATATAGTGAAACCCCAATTAACCCCAATTAACCATACCGTACCCATTCCCCAAATTTCGAAAATGTGCTAACCTGAGACAAGGTCATTACAGAATCTTTCTCATCGAGATCTTTACTACCAGCATCAGTGAACACGAAGACAGGGGAGTAAGCTTCAGTCTCGTGTAGGCCTTCGCTTATACCGTGCATCACCATCTCGTTACAGTCACCTCCTCCGTCAACCTGTAATACACCATAAATCAGTCATAAATAAGACGTAAATCAGTCATATTCAGTTAAAGTCATTTATAAATCAGTCATATTCAGACATATTCAGCCATATTCAGTTTTAATACTTTCAAAACACTACTATATAACAAATAATTTGAGAATATGAGTTACTCATAGTTAGTTACTCATATTATGAGTATGACGTAGAAATGTCGATACGTTATTCAGCTATTTATTCCCATTAGAATCTGTCTTCACTGAGTCTATTCAGAAACAATCAGAAATTTGAATGAAAGAAACAGTCATAAAACAGTCATAAATCAGACATAAATCAGACATAAATCAGACATAAATCAGACATAAATCAGACATAAATCAGACATATTCAGTCTTAAATCGGACATAAATCAGACATATTCAGTCATAAATTAATCATAAATCAGTCATGGAATCGACATTTCTATTCACATTATGAAAATTGAAAGCCTAAAATTTGATGTTATATAGTAGCGTAAAACGCCTAATAAATCAGTCATAATCAGCCCTGCAATCCTAACGTAATTATGCTCTTTGTAGCTGGGATTCGGGAATGAGAGATTAGTATGCTAACTCCAGGAAGTATCACCTTCTCAATTCCGTAGAATCTGTTGCAAACAGCCAAATCGAATTCATCACTAAAATCTCCCATCTATGATCTGACTAAATCTAACTGTTTCGTGTTCCCGAAAGTCTCCACGAATGAAAGCTTCCGGGAATCCTCAACTAGAGGTCTGAATAATAAATGAAAGAGCACAGAAGTTGAATGCAAAGAAAACGTGCAGCTACAATAATAAGATTTCTTACCGAAAGTTCCTCTAAGGCGGATAGGAGCTCGCCTTTGTCGGCATAGGTCTCCAGAGGACCGTAATCTGAGACAGAGAAGAGAGTAAAACATTAGCCCCCTTTTTAATTTATTAAAGTTTTCTCTGGAAAAGTAATGGGTAAACTCGCTTTACTACCATGACTACGAAGACTGTGTCTACCCTGTGGATCATTCATGGTAGCCAGTTAAAGTAAATGTTGGAAAAGAGGCCTTCAATTTCCGCTGGAGGCCGGAGGGTGATAACCCCTTACAGGAAAGTAGGGAAAGTAGAGTATTTCTGAAACTGGATTGAAATTTGAAATGCCAAGGTCCTTAGATGGATTGGAGATTTATATCGCTTTTCTTAAAGCAAAAATAGCCTGAAAATAAATCCTCGAGGTCTTTTCTTATAAATTATCATAAATATAAAATACCAGGATCTTTGAAGGGGGCTAGAAGGAAGGTGTAGAAACCAGAGCCAATATCAAATTCAGACTCCTCATCTCCCACTTCGTTAGCAGGAGTAGAAAGAGCCCGGACTATATTCCGAACTTGTTGAATATCTTCCTTCATTGAACCTGTGGTAAGGTTTACAATTTACATAGACGGCAGACGCATGCTAGAAAAATCTATCTGCAATCACTGGAACCAACTTCCGGTTTCTATGATCAAAAATCATTGGTTAATCGATGTAGTTTTAAAAGTTATCTAACAGGACAAAATCTGAATATGACCTCACCAGTAGTGTCGAGAACAAACGTCAACGTAGTCCCAGATTCAATGTTGAAAAACTCTTTAAAAGTCTTGTCCCCAAGCTTTGTCTGCAAATTAGTGGTCATTCAGAATATGCTAAGTTATGTAATCATAAACTAATAATAATTAGTGATTTTTTAAACATTGTGGCAATGGGCTCATTATGGTTATTAAAATATCAATTTTGTGCCAAAAATAAATCTTTGTCACTTTTCAGATTTGATGACAGAAGGAAGTTTTTAGTTTTACCCACTTTGATGTAGCTTATAATGTCATTAGTTGAACGCTTCATTTTTTTCTTTGATTTAGAATGAGAAGAGCTATCCTCAAGATACCTAAAATAGAAACTCAGATTAGTCACGATCACAAAAAATGTTACAACAAAAAACGGATTTTTATTCAAATAAAATACGAAGAATTAAAATTATCACGGACAAACTTTTCTGAAGAAAACTATTCACAATCGAAACTCACTGATAAAAGCCAAATATTTCTCTACCAATCCGGTAGTTCCCGGACTTAGCAGCTGATATTATAGATTTTCTTATCTCTATAAGGTTCCGAGAGCTTTTATCTGTCGATGACGGACTAAATTTTGCTTCGGCATACTTTATAGATTGTTCTATGTCTGTTAAAGCCTGAAAAACCGACTGATTAGAAAACTGATTTATTTCATTGATGCGTCAATAAGATAAGTCATCAGGTGATTTTACAGATTCTTTAATTCCGAAGAAAACCAGTAAAATAATTAATATATGCTATTATGACGTCATCAGATGATCTGTACCATGCCGCTAAGGACCTAATATATATGGAAGAAACAATAATAGTAGAAAATACCATACCTAATAAATCTTACTATATATAAAGCGAGACGATATATATATATATTATATATATATGTTTGGTATATCCGTACCATTTTACTGCAACACCACGGCATCAACTTTAACACGACTTTCCGCAAAAACCGTAAAACTAAAAGATATACAACTTAAACTTTTTCGACTGGTTCAAATGCTATGATGGCCTTCAAATCAGCGTGAAAAAATAAAAAATTGGCCAAGGAATAAGAATTTTAGTGCCAAAATGTTGGACCCCCAAGTGGTGTCAAAAACGCGAATTAAATAGGTAATAATTATTAAATAGTCTCCTGAGTCTTGACACCACTTTAGGGTTAGACGGGTCCCTGCTGGCAGTGGTATAAATATTAATAATGATCAGTATTATATTCAAATTAGAATAAATAAATCAATATGATAAGTTGTAATACCTTGTAAAAACTTGTCCGCGGTGGACCTCTTGATGACCTGAGAATTAAAAGGAAGCGTTTAAAATAAGATCAAAAGATCTCATTGAAATTTGTCTTACTTAATCTTAAGTAATCAAATTTGGTAATACTGATGTGATAGAAAAATAATATGAGAAACTTGTCACAACCTGCAGAACAGGGGACACGCACGAGGGCTATGTCATATTACAGCATGAATCATCTGAATAACATACCTTCTAGAAATACAATATCAAACGAATCAATCGTGACCGGAACAAATTGGCAATAATGGCGGCCGGGCTTTTTTGGGGGTTATGACGAAACCGATTCAATTTGTGGTAAGTACTGCATACTGGTTTCATTTTTGATTAGTATGATTAAATCTAAAACAAAAATGTATTCAATTCAATTGTCTGAGATCTACTTATGTTTTATTTAGTACTCCTAAGACCCTCAATGCGCCAGGGTATGATAGTTGAAACCTATAGACTATAGCAATAGTATAGTTAATAGTCAAATAGTGTCACCCGAAATGTATAGTGGTGCAAGCCTAACTAAGACTCTACCTGCCGAGGCCGCTCCTAGATTCCTGCTCAGCAACCACCAGTATTCTCCTAGTCCAGCTCAGAACTTCCGAAGAGCAAGCAAAGCTCAACACGTTCAACAACACGACGAGAACAAACAGCAACACCATGACAAACTCCAAAACTAATGTAGGAAGAGGAAATCACGATCCATGGAGTGTATGTAGAGGTGAGGTGATTGCGTGAGAGAGCTCGGTGTTATAACACACGCTGGTGAGGTTGAGAGAGTCGTGACGTTTACAAATAATCAAGATCGTGTGTCTGCTAAATTGGATTTGCAGATACTGAGGATCAAGTAATCAAGTATAAGCTGACTAGGGTAAGTAACAGTGATGTAATGAAGCGGTGTCCTTTGTAGTTCAACGCGTATATCCTGACTGCTATTCAGATATTTTTGGATATCCAAATCTGATTTTGGCTTTCAGGATGTTGCGTGAAAAGACAAAAAAAGACTTGACACCAAATACACTAAATATAACTGAGCTCGTTGATCCAATTTCGCTTTTCATCTCGCAAATTCAACCCGATTGAAAAATCTAGGAAGCACTGCCTGTAATTCAGTATTGAAACTGAAAGTAGTGCAGACTGCAGAGTGCGTGGGGCGGTGAAATTTACAACCATACAAAAGAGGGAATTATTACTTTGTTAACATATCATTAGGAGGAACTAAAATTTTCTTATCACCGAATCCTGGAGAGCACTGCCCGAAGTAATGGGGAGGTTTTACTGAACCGGCAACAAATTGGGTACTCAGAGCAGTTCACGAGCCTCCTGGTTCCTGTATACGTCATCATTTCAACGTTTAGGGCAGGGTTTCGTATTTCTTACTGCACAAAACAATTCAAACATGGTTATTTTTGTAAAACATCAGGAATCTTCAAAGAATTTAACAAATTAGCTTGTGTCTATCCTGAAATCTTGATTCTTCAAGAGAGATTTTGGTTGGTCAGGTCACTGGGTCATGGACAATTTCGTTACCAGGCATTATCAGGATTAAAGTTTAAAGCCATAACATGGTTATAAAGCCATAACATGATATTGATAATAAAGTTTGAGAAAATCCACGTTCCTTAACATGCAGGTGACGAAATTTCCAAAATAAGAAGGGAGCTCCCTTAAAGAGGCTTTTTGAAAGGCCATCACTCTAAACAATCTCACCCATATTATTCCTCTCTAGAATAATAAAAGCCTCAACTAAAAAGTCAGTAAATTTAAGCCAGGAAATCAGAAACATGACACATGCGATCGCAACAGAACATTTAACCATATTCATATATATGAGCATATGCCATATATTGAGTTGAACATTTAGTGCCACTAAAATGGCGTTTACACAAAACCCCGTAAGATATTTAGATAGACAGACAGACATATGGCAAATCCTTAAATCAAACACTGTGCTTTTGTGTTCTTGTAAGATAGCAATATCTTACTTTCACGTCAAAAGTTCAACGTGCATTAGATTGAGTATTCCATATCGGTAACAATTTAGGAACTGCAAATACTGATAGTCAGAATACCGCAGAATATCGGTTGTTTTCTGTTTAAACTTTCTGGTGGGATCGGCTAACAGATTTAGATATGTATGAGAACTCGAAATTTGGCGCAAAATTTCAAAAAGGAAATAGTATAGGGACAAAAATTAGTTTAAGCTGACATGTTCATTATTAGTTAAACTAGTTAGCTAAACTAACAGTAACAAGTTGTTTAGCAAGTTACTCTGGAATAATGATAAAGTTGAGGCGGTCACCACTTTTATACAAGGGAGGTAATCTTGCTCTTACGTCAAAAGCTACGCACACGAGCACCGCACGTCGTTTTTGATTATTTTACTTCTGCGTCAAAAGTACTTATTTTACGTCAAAAGTACTTATTTTACGTCATAGGACCGCGTCTACCGTAATCGTATTTAAAGTGAGAATAGCTGACTTATAATCATTAACCCGTCATTAACAACAATTAACACGCTGAAAATAGTCACAGGAATGTCACACTTCGAGGAAGAAATCGGTCAATAGAGGCCGACAAATGGAAAATTGATAAATAAGAAGCAATAGATGCAATAATGAGAGGTAACAAGTTATTAGGTATTTATGATAATCTACAGTATTGAGGCGGCTAACACTTTTATAAGAGAGAAATGTTGTTGCTTCTACTTTTACCAGTTTATCAGGAATAAGGCAACGTACTCAGCTCAGGTACATTATAAACTGCACTGAACCGTGGATACAAATAATAAAGAACCATTGGCATCAGAGCTTGGGCGCTCCTTTACTCCTAAAACATGATATATCCGCATTACTCGAATATTTAGCCACATATTTGTGGTCTTATCAATTCTGCTTTCCAGAGCAAAGATATTGATCTTACTTGAAAGTCGTCGTATTTCTACGGTGGTTTATGACGAAGTGTCAAGGGTGAATGTGTGCAGGGAGGCTGGAGCCTAATTGTAATTGTAATAATAATAATAGGATTATGGCCACATGGCCATCTCGACAAAACTTGAAACCCAACTGCACTCTACGCTATTGCAGTTCGCACAATATTATCAAAAAGAAAAATGTTCCTATCCGGAACATTTAATGATTAATTATTTTTAGGACGTTAACATGTAGTTCTGAATTTAACAATCAAGAAACATTGATTCCTCGGTATTTAGCAATCAATGGGTTTAATAGTAATAGCTTAATCAGAATGGTAGCAAAAAGTAGCAACTCTTAGTCTGCTGCGATAAGGTCAAAGCTTATTCGTGGTATACATGGAGGTCCTTTAAGGCTTAAGGCGATCTAGCAGATGTAATGACGGCAATGCAAGAAATAGAAAACAACAAAACACCTCTAACGTAACTGGAAATGCAGAGATGATAATTTATACCGGACAAAATCTGCCAAACACATTACTCGAATGGTGGTGTCAGTTCCGTTATACATTACACTCAAGCGCCGGCGTGAGACTTTTCCCCGGAACGAAACTCAATATTATATGCAGAATGGAGCGGGATTAGATAATTGTTGAAAATATGGTCATAAAATTGTCATAAAACACTTTAACTTAGACTTCTCCGTTCCTTAAATAAATTAAAATCTATCATGGATGAAAATAATATATTGTATAGAAATTCTAGAAGTAGACGATTCAAGAGTATGAGAACAATTTATTAGAACATACTCACAGCCTTGGCTCACCTGTTTCCTTTCTGGCCCATGACCTACTAGTGCTCAGCTATGCCTATAAATTGTTCACGTGAGCATCCGGGCGACATGAAAGAACAGGTTCTTCTCTCACTTGGTCTAGAAGCCTAGGCCTAGAAGGGCACAGGACACGAGGGTGGAGGACACAAGGGCGGTAGAAACAAGAGCGGAGGACACGAGGGCGTAGGACACAAGAGCGGTACTTTCCTAAAAAGGTGGACACGAGGGCGGATCATATGATAGTCACTTTACATTGACACGAGTGCGGAAATAAACTTGTAACATCACACAATTTGATTTTAACTTAGTATAATCTGGGCGCCACCCACACCCTGACCCTGTATCTGCTAGAGCACCAGGCTCAAGACTGTCAAGGGTGAGGACGTTCAGGGGAACGAGGTCCTGAGCCTCAGCCAGGACGATAGCTCTCATTTCACCAAGGCTGCGACTGCACTCTGCAATGAAATCACAATCTTTTAGGACATCTATAAAATGCTAACAGAAATATTAAAAAGGAATATGGGGTTTTCCTACTCACAACTTCACAAACACTGGGACAACTACAGTGGAAGGAGGAATATTTCCTGGACAGCTACGCTTTGGGAGAAGGGGCTGTTGTTATTTGTAACGAGGGTAAGGAGCGTTTCACCAGGAGAATATCAGTACAATTCGTATAATCTAGCAGTACAAGGTAGAGAGCACAGCGGTCAGCTGAAGACCAGTGAACACAAATAGTCGGCACATCATGCATTGGTGTGGAATGCCACCATGACCTAATATGTAACAGCCTTCACTTTAGACTCATACTAGGCTTATCTGGGTACTATTTCTGTAGAAAATAAATTGAAAATTGCTGCTTTGAAGATAAGAAGAATAACTAACAGAATGGAAAGATTAGTAATAAGTTATGAAAGCATAATTTTTGTCTGGAGTTCTAAAATGTGCTTGTGGTACGGCACAAGACAACAGTCGTATGAATATTTTCCGACCAAAATTTTGAAATTCGTATAATCTAGCAGTACAAGATAGAGAGCACATCGGTCAGCTGAAGACCAGTGAACACAAATAGTCGGTATATCATGCATTGGTGTGGAATGCCACCATGACCTAATATTATGTAACAGCCTTCACTTTAATTATAAAGTGAATAAACTGTTTCAGAGCCTTTAGGCTTTTGATATTTAACCACAGGACTTATTGTGGTTGGCAGTATCAAGATGTGGTTGGTACTATGTGCCACAACTCTGCTCATCCCAAAATTCTAGATAAGATAAGAGATGCTCTCCAGCTTCTCTCCAGTGGCTGGCACCGCAGACAAAGGTGAATTCAGTCTGCGGCCATAAATTCTAGGCTTATCTGGGTTCTGTTTCTGTAGAAAAGAAATTTAAAATTGCTGCTTTGAAGATAAGAAGAATAACTAACAGAATGGAATCGTTAAGTTATGAAGGCATGATTTTTGTCTAGAGTTCTAAAATGTGCTTGTGGTACAAGACAACAGTCGTATGAATATTTTCCAACAAAAATTTTGAAACTTGGTGCATTTTAAACGTGTCAAATTGGCAAACAATTTTTGACATATAACACGGCGTGCATATGCTTACAAACATCTGCACGAGAAATCGCCCGATGAAAAAATTGTAGACTCTTGGGTCATTTTTTCTCATAACTGTAGTGAAAATTATTACTGATAAGGCAGGCTAACTTGCCACATGTTTGTCTATCTCATAGTAAGGAAATGTCATATTTATCATCGTCTTCCAATGTTCGAAGACAAAAATGTAGACTAGCCTTTCAACAGACTATCAAAACATTTACATTTTGGAAATTGAACATGCAGTATAAATGTAAAAAATGTAGCAAAAAGTAACAAAACCGCCAAACATTAACTTAAACTATTTAAAATAGATCACGCTCTCTCATGTACATCTGTCTCTGATCCAACAACGGTCAATCTCGACTTCGGTTATTTCAATTATTTTCATTGATGAAATGTAACGACATCTTTCAGTCGACTTGAATGGAAATGGAATTAAAAACGTTCGTTTCTTTATATTTTACATCTGATAAAGTGGGTTAGAGCTGTCGTTTGTTCAGTTCTGCTAACACAACCCGCCGACATGGAACACACCGCGCTGTTTCCAAGACAACCACAGGACGCGCAAGAAGATGTCAAACATTTAGTCCCACACTTTGATCAACCATTTAGAGCTCCTGCTCACTGGGTTACCATGGTTACTGTGTCACGTGATTTCGGTCCACCAATAAGAACTCGTGCTTATTGCGTAACTCGATCATCAGGGTTTGCTTTTGTCTTTGTTCCGAGATTTGTGCACGGGTGACGAGGGGAAATCAAAACCGTTGAATTGGTGCGATGATGGGGCCCCTGAAATAAAACGCTTAATTAGTGATAAATGTGTTAAATTTTAAGCATTTTTATATTCCATATCAGAATTCCTTTGACTGAATTCTCATAACGAGATCGTGATCTACTTCAAACTCGTAGCACATGTTAACAATCAAACAAACAATGAGACTGGTATTTACTGGCATGTACTGGCATGGTATGTACTCAGTACTGGTATGGTATACACTGGTATGTACTCAGTACTGGTATGGTATACACTGGTATGTACCTGGTGTCCAGTGCTTGCTAGGGGAAGCCTCAGCAGGGGGGATATCTGACAACACAGCCGATATTGCAGACAAGGTTATCACGGGTTGTGGGGTGGTTGCTTCACCTGAAAATAAAGAAAGTAGTCAGAAAGTAGCCTGAAAGTAGTCAGAAAGGAAGAAATCCGATCGTCCCTAATTCCATTACAGAGATTTCGGGTAAGAGGTTATAGCTTGTAAATATAATACAGAAGACGAGGACACATTGCATGTACGTTGTACAATGGTGTCTATACGAGATCCAAAAATTCGGCCAGTGCAGGGTCTACTTTTTGAATAATTTCAAGGTTCTCCGGTTTATTTTATGTTATGGGTGACTTATCGATCACTTTAGTATGTTCTTTTATTCTTAGTATGTTCTTTGATTGCTGATATTTTAAAATAGAAATGATTTATAGCGGTATAGGATAATTTATTTCAAAAGAATATTTTTTAAAAGGAAGTTTAACGGCTAATTTTAAGTTTTCCAAACTTAGAATCCGCTATTAATACTCCCCCAATAATCCATAGAACTTTACCGAGATTTATTTCATGTGATAAAATATCAATTCTAGGTCAATGTTTGTATAAAAAGATCTTTCTAACCTGGACTAGAAGTTACATTATATCTACCCTATCTAATCTATCTATATCTAAAATAACAAACTTTGGTTTTACCTTCCGTGCTGGAACTGCCATCTTTAGAACTATCTTTCTTTAACTTCCGTCGCTTAGCAATGGGGGCCTCAGATACGTCCGCTAGAGAAAACTCTGTCCGATAGGCATCAAAAGTGGTGTTCACGGCGTGTTTCACAGTGGAAGCAACCTTCTGATCCTTTAAATACCCTGTCAAAATTAATTGATTAATAAATAGTAAAATTAAGGTGTCAAAGCAAAGTAACAATATCAAAACACAAAACTAAAAACTCTTTCGTGACTAAATAGCTCATTTGACATACGAATGGAATTTTAAGCACTTCTGACAAACCAGGGGTCATGAGTGGGGTATGTGGCACATCGGCAGACATGATCCACTCAGCGTTCTTGACCTGCGTCAAGGACAATCTCTTGGCGGCATCCACCGTGAGAAGGCCCTTTATCAGCTCTCGGGCAGAATGGGACACACTCTGCCACTCCTCCCCCGACAGATTGAAGCTACCTCCCTTGATCTGCTTGATTACTGCCATCATAGTACCGTCAGTCTGGGAGCCTTGAAACGGTACCCGCCCGCTCAGCATTATGTACTGAAAACATTTTTAATTTAAGTTAGAAGAATTAGGATAGCTTAATTACAAGGATCAAGCTTCCTCATATATGCAGGATTCAACTCAGTTAATAAAAACTGAAACATTTTAAAGAAACATGCCATAGTTCTTTATTATCAAAATAATCATGGCAGATGACCACAAGATGACCAGGTATTAGAATTCTCCATTTAGCGGAGAATTATCAGGAACAACGTACCAGGATAACACCGAGACTCCAGACGTCACAGCTATCACCGTACTCATTGTTGAAAACAGCTGCACTGTTTGTAGGGGTGTTGTGGTGCTGAACGTTCCGCAACACCTGGGTGATATGGCTTTCAATCACCTTGGGTACGTGATTTTATCACCAAGGGTACGTGTTTTTATAACCCGGGTCACACGATTGGTATTAAAATAAAAGCATTCGCCACATATAATGCCTTATATTAGCGATGTTCTAATAATAATATGTTGGCTGTTGAGATAAGGACAGAGTTTTTGACCCTTTCTGGGGCCACCCACTACACAATCGGATGGCGTAAATGATGAAATGTCATCGAAGTTTTGAACGAGAATTAAGTTATTTCCTCAGCGTGGTGGTAGGAAAATGCTGTGTGGCTACAAAGCCAAGTATCAAAAGCGACCAGGTACGGTTAATCCAGTTAAACAGGTTTCGTGACCTTAACCTCGAGCTCGGGTCCTTTGTTGTAATGCAAATGTGACAATTGCGAATCGTCAAAGGAGAGCAGAGATTTTTGAGAATTATATAATATTAATTTTTCAATTTTCAGCTAACTTTTGACGAGTTTTAATATTGTGGCATATTTCGTAATCTATAAATATATCATAGTGCAGGAATGGGTAGAGTATCAGTAATGTGAAAACAAGTACAGGGTGACTCAAAGAGCGGACCCAAGATCATTAGGCTCCCATTTTCTTGTTTTTCGTCAAGAATCAATGACAAGCAGGAAATATTTAGTTTCATCGAAACTAAACTGCTACGAACGAACCTCAGGGGCAGCGTAGGTGAGGGTAAAACAGGGAGTTTTGAGGGGTTGGTGATCTGAAAAGACCCTAGCAAACCCAAAGTCCACCAACTTAACGTCTGCGTCGTCCGAGTTGTCTGTGAACAAGATGTTTTCTGGTTTTAGATCTCTGTGTACGATACATCTGAGGAGTGGCCAGGTTTTAGTAAAGTTATAATTCGTCAAGTTTTAGAAGCGGCACAAACTGGGATTTTGCTTTCAAATCCCAGGGACTTGATCACCAAATGCAGACATTAGGGTTAAAATGTAAATAGCCCAAAAGTCCACATGTCATAATACATGTAGTGTGTTGTAGTGTGGTTAGCGGTTAGTTGTGTGGTTAGTGTGGTTAGCGAACCTGCTGTGTAGGAAATTAAGAGCGCTGATGAGCTGCCTCATGATCCTAACAGCTTCTGCTTCACTGAATATCTTCTTCTCTCTGATACGATCCAGCAACTCTCCGCCTCTCACGTGCTCCATTATAATGTATGTGTGCAGCTGAAGAAAGTGAGATTTATCAAGAAATACCGATTTTGTACAAACTCAAAAAAATGTAATATGGGGTATGAGGGTACCGATAATCGTGTTTGAATAAATGTTTTTGCCAAAAAAGTAAGAAATCGAGTTATTTATTGATATTGATATATTGATATTAATATATCTATAACTTAACCCGTTAACCGCTCTACAAACCTCGTCTTTTTGTACGTCTACCAGCTTGACAATGTTTGGGTGACCTTGACACATCCTCAAAATCTGAACCTCTCTCTGACAGGACAGTATCTCGGTTAACAAACTATGCAAAAAATGTTTAAAATGTCAGGTGGAGACAATATTTATCGGGAGAAACTTGATATTTTTTAAAACCTTGTTGTTATTTCACAGAAATTATTATGTTTTTAGCAGACTATTTATTTAAGAACCTGAGGGTGGTTTCTGTTACTGACAATCTTCACTGCGTACTCAGCCCCAGTTTCCTTGTGGATACAACTGCAGACTGTACTAAAAGAGCCTCGTCCTATCACTTTCTTGTTCAGTGTGTAGTTCCGTAGGAAGGGCGAGTTTTTTACCTAAATAATTACCGAATTAGAGTTTTTAACGGAACAAAGGTGCAGCGATATAATTTGAGAGTTTTATTTTATAATTTATATGGCTGTTTAAAAAATAGGAAGTACAGACAATTAGTAACTCACGTGTAAATTTTGGATGAGGTTGTTAATTGGTTTAGATGCGGATTTAGTGCCGCACAATTCAGCCGCACTGTCGGCGAATATCTCTGCATTAAAAAGAACTGACGGTGCGACGAAACTGAACCCCTGAAACAACAATATTGAACTTATTCTCATTTAATTTGACCTCCGATCTCGTACTGTAATCATCTTCGAGATGAAAACGTTGTATTTCTTACACTCCCCTTACACTCAACCCCATTTTATTTATTTGCAAATAAATCACAAATCATAGCATAGCTCATTTAAAATAAGTCCAGCATTTTTTTTTTTTTTTTATCTAGACACTTATTTTACTTCGGTGTATTCCAACAGCCACAATGTTACACAAGTGCAACCAGCCAATTACAGGAAGCCGAAGGATCTTTTTGGCCAGTGACGGTTAAGGTAGTGTGTACCATACTTTCTTCGTCCGAGACTTTGCTGCAATGTGCAGCTCCTCATTTAACCCTCACACCCGATTTCTCGAGTATTCGGCTGAGTAGACCGGGGGGCTGCATAGACCACTCATGATCCTTAGCTGAACGTCCACGACGCTCACCCCACGACCAGGCAGTCAGTGGGTTTCGAACTCGCAACCTAACGATTGTAAGACAGGCGTTCTAACCAACTGCGCTACCTGGCCGTCGAAAGGCAGATGAGAAAATGTATCCAACTCGTATAGTCAGTGAAGTTCATAACTTGATGACAGACATCAACGGGTACACATTAACGAATTTATCAACAAGATGGGTTAAATCATACTTACACGAGCCCACATAAAATTCCCGACGTTTCCTATCCTCGAATAACAGCTCAAGTAACAGTCTTACAAAATATATTATATACGGAGCTTCTTTGTATCGAAACACTCAACTTACCCTGAAAATCTGAGCAAAGCGCTTGGCACTTTGGGGTGGAAATGCGGGGGAATCCACCGGGGCCATGGTGGTGAATTCCTCCGCAAAGTTTCCCACGTCCATCTCGTCCCTGACACGCGGCTTGAAGGGAGCTTGGATACGCTTGTGAAGAACATCATCCCAGTTTAATTCCTAAGTGGAAGTTGTGAGTATTACTGTAGTTGAGTATGTGGGGCTCGTTTGAAGGAGAATGAATGTGTTGTAGATTTATAATCATAAAATTGTGTGCTACAGCTTGACCATTATCAATTGTACAGTGCACCATGTCAAATTGTGCAATAAGTAGCAACTGATGTGATTAAGTTTTATGTACATTATTTTCACTCCAGCCGTAGTCTGGTAGTATTGAGTTTCGTAACCAAAACCAAAAGTTAATACAGGAAGGAGCCGAAGACTTACTTAAAATGGTCAATCAAAGGTTTTTTTAATAATATTAGCACAAAATTGTAGCTAACTCCCTATTACATGGCAAGAGAAAGATAAGAACGAAAGATAACCTGGAAGAAAGGATGCTCTTTAACCTCAGCAGCTTCCCTCGTTCCACAACCTATCCGTACTTTAGGGTCCTTCTGTAATAGGCCCCATATCAAGGACCGTAGTTGTGGAGAGAAATGGTGTGGAAGTGGTGGAGAGTTGTTTAGGATACGCCTGTTATTATGATGGTGTTAAATTTGTAATATATACAATCGGGTGATCGTTATATTATAACTAATTTTTAAATCAAACAGAATTCTGTCAGGAGAAATAAGAAACAATTTTATAGAATGAAAAACAAATTTGTTTATTTATTGTTAACGAAATAACAAACCTAGTGATATCTGACTGGGAATTAGTCTCGTTATCGATGGTAAAAGGAGAAGCACCAGTGCACAACTCATACAAGAGGACCCCCACACTCCACCAATCCACGGCCATGTCGTGCCCGGTTTTACCACCACGTAGCACTTCCGGGGCCATGTACTCGATAGTTCCGCAAAACGAGTACGTTCTCTTGTCCTGAATAGTAATGGTGAAGGGTTGAGCTGGACAGACATAGTAATCTTGTTTTTAAAGGGATTTTAAGTTATTTAACTTGGTTGGCCTGGAGGAGGGGTGAACCATCATTTTACTATCAGCGATTAACCAATCAGGCATCAGCTTCCAGTATTGACCAATCAAACTCTAAAATCACTGTCACGTGTCAAAACAAATATGGTCGAACACCTCCCTACTTGCTGACAATATCTATGATTATGCCAAAAGATTGATGGTTCAGGCAATTAAAATTTTGCCCTGGCAGTGTGATAAAGATACCTATACATTTAGTATACAAGTTGATGATGTAGGGAGGTTTAATTGCACAATTACAGGACACGTGACTGCGCGCCACAATTCCGATCCAGTGGATGATTACTGTCTAGTACTTTATTTACAAAAACATATCAATTGCTGACAATAGTACTTTCCGCATGAGCCGCGCATATCTGGACAAATTTTGGCGCTATCTCACATTCTGCAGCTGTGTGTTCAGGTATATTTCCTCAAGGCTGGGGGCATGTTTGGATCAATCTCCAGGATCATACGATATAAAAAGACGCGGAAAATTCTCGAAAATTCTCGTTAAATTGGAGCGAACATGGTCCATAACATTACATCACAATTCACAATATTATGCAAGTTTATTTTCACACGTGAGTCCCTGTCTGACCAATCACCTTCCAGTTAAACAACTTCAAATACCAATATGTACATCTGGTACAAAGGTGCAGTTTCTTTACTAGCAGTAATGCAATATCCAAAATGTGGACTGTGGTTCACGGTTATTAACGACTGGTTCTTTGAGGTGGGTCTTTGAAGATTCATAGGTACATTTTTGACAAGGTGCGATAAAAAGCAAAACCAGTTATTACGCGACCCCTATGATCGTAAGAAGTAGACAAATCCGATACCCTAGTGTATGTGACACTGTACGATTCCGTGTATAGTTGTATAAAGAACTTTTCACATTCTACGATATATAAACACGCAAAAAGAATTCCACATGACGTAAGTAGAATGGGGATATTCCCATATAAGGCTGAACATAAACATTTTGGAATTTTGAGGAAAACGTTTCGGGTGGTATTTCTTGAAAACAACGCTGGAAGGCCCAATAGGCGCGGAATTTTTTTTCCAAATCCAAAGTTTTAACGTATGCGAAGGTAGTGTCTTTAATAAGTAGGGTAAAATAGAATATTCAAGTCTTCTCTGTTAGCAAAAATACAGCAAGACTTTAAATAAGAGACCGGTTGATCTACAAAATAAGTTAGTATCAAATTTTAACAAACTTATTTATAAATCTAACTGGCGGGTTGAGTTTCTCTCCGAGTAGTTTTTCAACGGGCAAGCTGACGTGCTGATTTATACGGAATGATGTTTAGAAAGAAGTGATGTAACTATATAGAGAATGTACAGCAAATACCTCAGTTTACTGAGCATTCCAGCTTTTCTGATACCTGTTAACTGGTACAAACTGAAACTTGATATCGGGTCTAATATACCTGGCGTTACTTGTATGATTTTCAGTTATCATTATTTCTCAGAAAGTGTATGTAGAGTTGTTCTATAGCTGGTGGTGACATCGCAAAAAAACAAAAATTACCGTCCAAAATATTTGTTCATATAGTCGAGTCTGAAATTTCAGATCGATAGATAATAGATATACACTGTACAATCTAACCACATATATTCAAAAATATCCCCCTCAAAAGGCAGCCCACGTGCGGGCACGTGCAGCCCACGTGCAACCCTCGTGGGAGGCCACGTGAGGTCACTTAGCGGCACCATGCTGGACGTGGGTAACAATGCACATCGCACGTAGCGGCCTCCCCAGAATCAACTCTTTTACTCCCCCACATACCCACATACCCACATACCCACATACCCACATACCCACATACCCACATACCCACATACCCACATACCCACATACCCACATACCCATATCACTGCTCCCCCTCGTACCCAAATTCTAAGCTATCACAGAAATGTTCTCCTATTTTGAGGGACAATGCAGGTCAACGTATGAATAAATTTGAAATTGAACTAAATTTAGTGAACCTCCCTAGATTTCAAACTTACTTACATCTGTTCAATATACGGGTATATGCCTCCCATAAAACAGAGCCTCCCAGAATGTATACGTTTACTTTTTTCCCGATTTCTGCATCAAGTACTTATTGCTTCTGATTACTCGAAAGTTTTCGTTACGTTCTTCCCGAAAGGTTTAAAAATCTAAATTTATAGTAGTTTGTAAATTTTAGTGACCTCGGTTGACGGTTGTAGAATGAGATATTCAAACATTATAAAATGTGTGCTCAGTACCTAACTAATTTCTCCAGTTATAACCTATTCCAAGTGAAGCCCAAGATTCCGATTCAAGGTATGCACCCGTCACCTACCGTACCTATGTAGCCTTAATATAATTTCGGATTATATTAATATGTTGAGAGACCTAAAGTATTCCCATTATTAAGAAATAATTTTAATTTTAATAATTATTATTATACATTGAATTAATTGTTGGTAGCTGTGATGGGCTTCTCGTGCAGAAATGAATATCTGTGTGAGCTTGGAGAAGCATCATGAGCGAGATTTGCCAGGTAACTGGCTATCCCGTGAATGGAAGCTTGTATTAAATAAATAATAATTATTATTATTTAAAAATAATTATAATTATTATTATAAATCAATAACAGTAATTAACCTACTCTTAAGATTCGCAGACATGGTCACCTTTTGCAACACCTTTTTGACTAACTAACATAAACATGGAGTTAATTAACAATTACAAACCAAATAATCAACCCAATTAACAATTACAAACCAAACAATCAACCTTGCAAACATACCTAGTTTAAATAAGAAACCGACACTTACCAGACTGTCGTAAGCGAATCCCTTGCTGAGACCGAAGTCAGTCAATACAATGTGTCCAGTAGCATCCAACAAGATGTTCTCTAACTTTATGTCACGGTATATGATACCCAGCTGAAACAAAAAGGGTTAAATATTAATTTTGTGGTATATGATAACCATTACCCGATACCCAACTCAAAAATTACAGAAACACAAAAGTTACGAAAACAAAAAAGTTACAGAAACACAAAAATTACAGAAACACAAAAGTTACGAAAACAAAAAAGTTACAGAAACACAAAAGTTACAGAAACACTAAAGTTACGAAAGACAAAAGTTACAGAAACGCAAAAGTTACAGAAACACAAAAGTTACACACAACAACGAGGGAGGGAGCATTAAAGTTACACACAACAACGAGGGAGGGAGCATTTCTAGAAGGGTAAAAGGTGGGATCTAATAGCCAGCTCTACAAAGTCATGTACGTGACCTAACGAGTACATGCAGATAGAGAATGTTACAATGTAGGTTTCATGCTGGCTAACAAAGGGTACATTTCACACAGATATTATATGTGGAGTATTCTACACATTTGGTTCTACAAGTAGGTTGTGTACGCAACAAGTTCCGGTACACAGTTTTGTTCAAATTACCATGTCTTTAAAATAGTCTGGAGTTGGTGAACATACCACTCTCCCACAATTGTAACATCATTTGGTAAAGTTTTCCATGATATATCATATATTGGATAGGCAAATTACATACTTTCAAGCATTTTCTTTCTTGAAGCATTTGCTTTCGTTCCTTCACCGAGACCGTTTATATAGGTTTAAATACTCGACCTACCGTACGAGTGCATTTAAGACGCCATGATTTGATAACCATGAGATTGGATAACCAAGATTTTGACTATCACAAAATACAGTAGTACATTATGTAACGTGTTCTGTGATATTATTAAAATAAAAGAGTTCAGCCACGTACTATTAAGAAGATGTGAGTGGGCAGTGGCTACCTTGAGAGAGACAAGAGTAATTGGACAGGAGTCTTCTAGGTGTTTGTCATGCTGTTGGATTACATGTGTGCATTTTTATTTGGTTTGCCATAATATCATAGTTATGGCCTCTAAAAGCAGACCTCTAAAAGCTGGCCTCTAAAAGCTGGCCTCTAAAAGCTACCCTCAAAAAGCTGGCCTCTAAAAGCTGGCCTCTAAAAGCTACCCTCAAAAAGCTGGCCTCTAAAAGCTGGCCTCTAAAAGCTGGCCTCTAAAAGCTGGCCTCTAAAAGCTGGCCTGTGAAAGCTGGCCTCTAAAAGCTTGAAATACAATTACACTAAAACTTGCAGGTTTAGAAAACAGCTTCTGTGGTCCATCTGTGATACGAAGTGTATTTAAAATATGAAATATTGATGGTATGATAATACATGTTAATGGTATGTTGATGGTATGTTAATACATGTTAATTTAATGCCCGATCCTTTTTTGTGATGTAAGTCGAAATAAATAAAATGGTGTCCCTCGTGGTAACATACAACAGCTGTATTCATAGATATAATACACATTCGATCTCGAGTGTTGAGGTGAATAATATAGTTGTACAAATCTAGATTATAGACGTAGTTCGTAACTGCTACTAATTGTAGTGTCATTATGGTTCCTGGTGGTAATTATGGTGATAATTATAATGATAATTATGATGGTAATTATGGTGGTAATCATGGTGGTAATTATTATGGCAATTATGGTGGTAATTATGGTGGTAATTATGGTGGTAATTAGTATGGTAAATATGATGGTAATTAGTATGGTAATTATGATGGTAATTATGGTGGTAATTATAGTGGTAATTATTATGGTAATTATGATGGTAATTATGATGGTAATTATGATGGTTAAAAGGCAAAAAACGATCGAGCTTTTTACCGAAAAACATCATTTTACTGACACCACGGCATCAACTTTAACACAACTTTCAGCAAAAACCGTAAAAAAACTGGTTTGAATGCTTTAATGGCCTTCAAATCAGCATGAAAAAATAAAAATTGGCCAAAGAATAAGCATTTTAGTGCCCAAAATTTGGACCCCCAAGTGGTGTCAAAACGCGAATTAAATAAATAATACTTATTTTAGTCCACATCAGTGGGGATGGTACCATTGACCGAGATCTTGACATCAGGATCCAGCGTGCTAATGGTGCGTTCCATCAGCTTTGGAAGATATGGAACAGTCGAACGCCCACCAAGATCCGTATCTACAAGGCTGCTGTTATTACTATTCTGTTATATGGAGCTGAAGTGTGGAACACAACAAAGAAGCAGATGAAACGGTTTGAGGTCTTCCATCTGACCTCCCTGAGAAGAATCTTGAAGATAAAGTGGTTCTTCCATGTCTCCAATGAAGAAGTTCTCAGGCGTGCTGGAATTAAGTCTATCGAAACTTTCATCGGTGCGGCTAGACTAAGGTGGTACGGACATGTTATGTTGTCAGAATGCCAGAGACGCGGTTCCCCAATTTCTTACTGGATTGGAAACCAAACTATGGAAAGAGACTGAGAGGTCGAGAGGACGACCCCGTAAAGGCTGGATGGCCTGTGTACTCGAGGATGCGGCTGAATTTACAGGTGTCGATAACATCAGCAGAGATGCAGTAAAACAGTTGGCTCTTAAGCGAGTGGAATGGAGGAACATGTTACGCCGTAGAAGAGATGTGTGTGATGCAGGCCACTCCAACGACTAGGAGGAGACCTCTTCATGTAGCATGTATGTATTTTAGTCTCTTGAGTCTTGACACCACTATAGGGTTAGACGGGTTCCTGCTAGTCACAATAATTGTAGAAGCAAGGGTATATAATACGATGTAAGAAAATATAACTATATAAATATGATTACAGGTCTAGACTATACGATCGTTAAATTACGCGCTATTTTTGCCATCCTGGCTCTCTATTACCCTTCCCAGTGTACATCATCAAGTTCTGATTAATTTTATTGGCTGCGAATCGAGCGGGGATGAGACAGAAATGACGTGGGATTTGATTAGTCGCTGTTACGAGGTGATTGGTTAATCGTTTAAATAAAGTATATTATAAATGTGCTTTACATCCCCCTATTGCTGTGGTAAATTCAATAGTTAAAGGACCAGTTAACTGAAAAATTTGTAGTCTCCAATTTGGCTAAGATTTAAATCAGCTGTGACAAACTGGTAAAAAATTGTATCGCCGAAAGAACCAACTCTCTAGCTTACGTGTAACGCGTGTTATTGCAATAATAAGCTGTGGCCGCGTGACGTCATAAAGTCCCTCAGTGCGCGCTGGCATAGCGTAATACAATGCACAAATGTTTATCATCGTCAATAAAACACGTGTAACTCACTCAAATTTTAGAGTTATGACTATTTCCCTAGTTCTCCAAAATCCTTATAGTTTTGGCTATCACCCTAACTATACGAATAGCTGATTGGATGTACAGTGCTCACGTCAGGATTTTAAACAGTGACATAAGTTCTTGAACAGTGGCGGGTGAATGTACGGTTAGAAAGTTTCTGCTATTACAAGTTATGTCATATGTGATAATTTTGGATTGTTTTCATTGCTTCATTAAAACGAAGGGAGACTGTACCGATTATTTTTCCCCAGTCCATGAAACTAATACACAAAATAATGTGCTATATATTAAATATAGCTGATCAGAGTGTAACTCTGTAATATAATATTACAGTTGTTCGGAAGAATGCGAGCAGTCAAATGGTTCGCTATCCTAAAAGACATAGTTCCGAGAGCAATTATATTTTTAGCATAGCGAAATTTCTTACTTTAATCCACACGTGCCAGACAGTACAGGAGACATGAAGTCTGGCTATTTTACGGCCGTTCCCATCGGACCATTAGTCGAAGTAGCTCCTATCAGAACGGTGCCGTGGGAACTGAAAAATACCCGGTATACGTAATACTGATTGGAGTGTACGGTGAGCGGTGTGTTTTGAATTTGACTTACCTAGTTATCGTCCTACTTGTATGATCATCGGTAGGTACATAACATAAATAAACTACTGGTAAAATTAAATACCAAGTGCAAACGTGTTCAGTCAATCGACCCACTGAACAAATATAGAATTTCCAAGACCCTATTATTCTTTGGCCATATATATTGCGGCACGATCGATTCTTAGATGGCTAAACGACATACGTTAATCTATACAATTCTTAAACTATGAGATAGCACTTTAATCTAGAAATACACTTATTATATTACTCCTGATTTTTACATTTCAATTTTCATGTAAAACATTGTAGCCATAGGTTGATCATGGACACTGACAGCTTAATTTTAGATAATAATGATTTATGAGTTTCTCTAAAGTTAACTCTAAACTAGTGTAGTCCAGTCATTTAAGGACATTTATGGAATTGAACCTGCAAATTTTCGTATACTCACGAAATTTTGCAAAAACCTTCTCAAAAGTATGAATAAACGATTTTCGGTTGGAGACATATTGACCACGCCGATATTGACCCAATAACGTAACCGACCCTTTGCTTCTGAAGGTCGTAGACTTCTAAATAGGCTTAAACGAAGCGGCATATGCATGTTTATATAGGAATTACTGAGCAACACATGGCCTAAAATCCTTACTCTTCGAGAAATTTGCCAAAAACCATTTTGGGCGTGGTGCTGAGCCCATTTTCGATAGGATCGTGATAGAGTCTTTAGACAGGGTGCAAAAGAACCGCAATTAGCATATTTATATATGACTTACGAAGAAACAGATGCCTTAAAGTGCTTACTTTTTCAGTTATTGGCGAAAAACTGATTTCCGGTTCCAGAAATCATGCAAAAGTATGGGTATCTTGTAAATTGGGCTATGAAGGCCCTACAGATTTTTGAATGATTGCAAATTGTGCAGAATGGCCATGTTTATATACAACTTATGAAGCAACATGTACCCTAAAACACTTATTTTTCGAGTTATTTAGGGGAGAAACATTGTATTATGTCCATTTTTACCTGTAAAATACAGTCTCACGAGCTCTTCTGTGCGCGCAAGGGACTTTATGACGTCATCGCCAAAATAATACAAACGCTAATTACACGCGTTAGAGAGCAGTTAGAGATTTAGGAATTTCGACTCGTTGCTCAGTTTGCTATTTGTCACAATCTGTCAAAATATGAGGATAACTTTTTTTTGAGTTAACTGGTCCTTTAAGATGATAGCTAAATGGTAATTATCAAATCTTTAATTAATTAATAGTATTGTTATCCAACTTTTAAAGGAAAAAATAAATGGTCAACTAAACCCCCCCCCCCCCCCCCCCCCAACTCCCTCAACGCTCAATAAAAAGAGAACAACCGCGATGTTACGAACATTGGTATTTAAACATTATACTTTTTAGTTGCTACTCAATATAATATAAAGAAATAAGATCAATAACCAACGTAACCAATTAAATAACTAATTAAAATAAAACAATGATAGATAATCGCTCCGTAATCACGTGACTCACACTGTGTAGGTGCTCTAGAGCGAGGGTAACCTCGGCAATGTATAGTCTGGCTTCATCTTCGGTGAACCTCTCTCGTTGGTTGAGATGCGTGAACATTTCTCCGCCGTTCACGTACTCTGAAGTTAAATTAAGTGAGTAAAAGTGAGTAAAAGTGAAAAAGTGAGTAAAAGCGAGTAAAAGCGAGTAATAGTGAGTAAAAGCGAGTAAAAGTGAGTAAAAGCGAGTAAAAGTAAGTAACAGTGAGTAAAAGCGAGTAAAAGTAAGTAACAGTGAGTAAAAGCGAGTAAAAGTAAGTAACAGTGAGTAAAAATGAGTAACAGTGAGTAAAAGTGAGAAAAGTGAGTAAAAGCGAGTAAAAGTGAGTAACAGTGAGTAAAAGCGAGTAAAAGCGAGTAAAAGTGAGAAAAGCGAGTAAAAGCGAGTAAAAGTGAGTAAAAATGAGTAAAAGTGAGTAACAGTGAGTAAAAGTCACATTTTTGTAACCATCCAGTTATTTGCGTCATCAGGCTGTGCTATATCTTTAATGGGATCTAATCGTTCAGTTCAAAACCAAAAAGCGGAATAGAAAATCTAATAATATATTGAAAGTGGTTTATGGCATGTTTCCCGCCACCGACAAATTATAATACGTTATTAAACGTATGAGTTATGACGTTAAAAATGGAGATTTTGTATTGTTTAAAACCACTTCCTGAACTAATTTGTCTGATATTTTGTATATAATACCCTCTGTGAGATCTTTTATGTGGCTTTTAAAATTTATATAGTCATTAGAATTGTGAAATTATATTCGTTTAAAGATCTGATTGATTAATCAGAAGTGGTTCTTTAATTTGGATAAAATATTTTACTTGAAGATCACCAAATATGACAAAGCACCTCCTCTAAAGCTCTAAGATGATTGACAGCTTTGACAATTGTGGGAGTTGCTTTAATGGTTTAAACAAATACCAAGTTAGCAATATCATGATCATTCAAATATTGGAGCTATCAGCTCCCATATAATACGATAACTATAAATCTAAGATTGACCGATGCTACTATTATAAATATATAAATGCCTCAAGAGGCTAACGAGGAGTAGTTTGTAGAGTAGTATCTATAACTTCAGAATATTTATATAGTTAATTGTCCTTAGTAGCGCACAAAATACAATGTAGCAGCGCGCTCTACTACATGTTTTTATAAAGTATGTCAGCTGTAAATGAGAGTATATTTATCCTTGCTATGTTTTTCTGTATCGGTTGTCGGTAATGCCGACTTGGTATGCCATCATGGTCAAACATAGCTCAGAATCTCTACAATAATTGGTAGTTACAAGTGACAAGGATAACCAGGACAATAAAATTGTCGTGATCACGTGCCATGATCACGTGATAGGATATACATTATAGTTATACAGTATACATTATACATCAGGAGAGAAAACCAACTAACAGCCAGACTCAGTGATGTTAATTTGTGAATTCCTCAGAGTACGAGTTATCTAATGTGTTTGAGATGTTTGACAATAAATCATGACGGGATTAAATCTTAATAAAATTAAAACATTACATATTTCGATCTTTGAAATCAAACACATGCAATCATACGCGTTTTCGATTGCTCTCCGATGATAAATTCATCAGAAAATCACACAATGCATGTACATGATGATATTAATAGCGTGTGGCCCATTGTGACAACTGTATTGACTTGAAGGTGCGAATACGCTACACTTGCAATTAACATAATTACTGGTGCAATGGGGAGACGATAGTAACACGCTGTTAATTGTAGGAACTAGAATTGTTGTTTTTTTCTAGATGCGAATTTCCCACAAGTTCATTTATATATTGTGGTCTTTCAAATTGTATTATCGCACTTAAAATCTATGTACTACAGTCGTGATCTCGTAGCTAGGAAAATCAATTCAAGATTAAGTACGGCGAGTTTATTGTATCCAAATTCAATTGAGAAACATGTGAGACTCACAAATTCACTGAAGTTACTCATGCCCTGTTACTAACAATGGCACCAAGCTTATGTGTGACAATTTTAAACAAAGGGAAGAGGGGGCAAGATTCCCTTTTGTCGACACCATTTACGTGTCCCACTAGCTCGCAATATTATCTTATAACGTTAACACGTTACAGTATAAATCTAGATCTGATTTAACAATGGTCAATGAACCCGAAATTGTGGCCCCTAATGATAAAGCAAAGTGTGAGTGCAGCCTCACAACTCAAAGTGTTGAAGACAAGATGAGATAAAACTTTTATGTGGGGCAAAACTCTTTTGATTTGTTCTTTTCAAATCAGAATTCAACTTATGATCCATAGAATAAATTGCTTTCTATTCTTTTTTTCTTCTTTTTTTGTCATCGGGTCACTGAGCTACTTGTACTGTCACAATGGTCTCTATTTCGACCCTGCCCACAACTATAAGTCATTATTATGACCCATATTATATATATATAATATAGATTGCTTACTCATTTAATCTTATTCCCCTAATCGTCAAATGATGCATTAGTTCGCTGTTTATTAGTCTCATGATTGAGAACCTGATAGTTGGATAATATCCGGTTGGAAGAGACAAGGACAAATGAAACAGGAAGTTAGGAATGTAGGCAAATTTTCGGCGTCCACGCCATCTTCAGGCTCAAATTATTTGTTATATAGTAGTGTTGAAAGTATTTAATACTTTTCCTGTTTCATTTGTCTCTTCCAACCGGATATTATCCAACTATCAGTATCCCCTAATCATGTTTGATAATTCATCAGAGCCATGAAAAATTATGCGATGCAGCAGTGTGGGAAAATCCACATGCACAGTTCGTATCATATCTTTGGCAAGGATGGACAGGTACGAATCCAAATACTAATTAATACTCAAAAACGTTTCTTAGATATTTCCCAGAAAAGGAATCGATCTTAATAACATTTCGACAAGGTTGTATTTATTCAATGGTATTGCTATCAGTTCAAAACCAATTATAGGCTGCTTAAAACTCTCAAAACGACGCCCTGTTGTTAGAAATCCGTCATGAAGGGGCCCAGTTAAGTTCACTCAGCCAACCACACTAGCTGAAGTCTATCTGTTGACAAAGGACTATCATACCTGAGTTCTAAACGCTTTATAAACGTTTAATCCACTTATTGAACAGTCAACAAAGCAGCAACACCCAACACTGTTGTAGCCTGTCTAGTCGTTGACCTCTGATTGTTAAGTTTCTACTGTCGATGAAAGAACTTGAGCTAAAGACCAGTACATCACAATGAGTGTGCCAAGCAGCGGTTAACACATGTTGTCATATTGTGTAATACTGGAAATATAATGGACTGTGTTCTACTACCAGCACTGATTATAATTCTATATCTACAGGAGCTGACAGAATGAAGTATCTATCTATCTATCTAAACGTGCTGACTTAAATAGAAAGCTTATATATTTTAACAGTTTGATTCGATGTAGGCTGCTCCCGTCCAATTTTGGTGTCAGTTATGTGGATGGATTTGATGAGTTCTGTGATAGGGATGGTCTCCTTGACCGCTCTCTCTCTCGCGACCTCAACAACAGCGGTTAACACATGTTGTCATATTGTGTAATACTGGAAATATAATGGACTGTGTTCTACTACCAGCACTGATTATAATTCTATATCTACAGGAGCTGACAGAATGAAGTATCTATCTATTGCAAATTATCAGAGGTATATCAAATTATAAACAATATTTGTACTACAACGAATAATATTGGTGCTGCAATGAAGATGGTTGTGACTGAGTGACTTGTGCTACATACAGCAAGAGTAAACAGCTGCTAAATTATCTAACCTAGGATGAGGTGCAGTTTAGCGTCTGTCTGGAAAGCGTAGTGCAGGGTCACGAGGAACGGTGACTGCCGGACTCTTTCTAATACCTGATAGGAAATGCAGTGAAATTAAGGTGAAATATATGGAATTAATTAAAGCTAAAAAATTTACTTGTTAAAGGAGACCGGCTAAATTGGTGATCAGGAGTTTTCTAAGCCTTGCCTACACCATTTTTGTAATTTAAACTTAAAATGAAGGCAGACTATAAATTAATGTCAAATTTGACTGACAAATTATAGACAAATTAGGAAGCAACATTAGCAATTCTTAAATTTAAGCATAAACTGGTTTTGTGTACAAATCTAAAGTTTACCTGACGCTCAGTGAGAGTGTATTCTGTAGTTTTTTGCTTTTGAAGTATCGTGCCTTTCTTGAGAACTTTCATTGCAAAGAGTTTTCCATGATCAAACCCACCATTCTTCCGTACCAAGAACACTTTCCCGTATGCTGCAGTAAAAATAGAGTGGTTAAATTATCTGAACTTAAATTTGAGGGGTTAATATCTAAACAGTCTTGATTCTGTATAAAAAATATTGTGCAGTACACAAAACTGAACATACAAAAGTTGGATGCCGAGAATAAGCATACAAAAATATTGTACCTCCAGTGCCAAGGACCTTGAGAAGCTCAAAGTTTTCTGGTCCTACTTTCTCCTCCCTGAGAGCGAATCGTGTTATGTGGTGTTCGACAACGTCTCCCATTTGCTGAAAACATCAATAACAGCTCTATATATTTTCTGCTGATATCTTCAGAATACCATGTCTTGACTACCTATTGTGGGAGAGTTAGAACAATTTTATTCGAAAAATAAGTACACACTGTTTTTTTTTGTGGCAACCACTCTATCTACAATTAGAGAGTGTTGAATGTGGAGAAGGCAACCTTCACCCAGGCTGTATTTCTCACATCTGGAGGTATGTCGAAAGAGTGTAAGCAACTTGTCAACAGATTAGCGGACCTCATAGCAAGAAAGAGGAAGGAGAGGTATTGTGATGTGGTAAGGCATGTAAGAACGAGGATAAGATTTGCAATGCTAAGAACAACACTTATTGCTCTACGTGGGTACAGAGGAAAGAAGATGGACAGCAAACATGAGCCCCTCTACCAGAAGTCTCATACAACCTTATCCCTGCCCCAATGATGGAGTAAATCATGTGTTTTGAAATTTTGGTGTATATATTTGATCGTTTAAACTACAACAAGAAATGCGGCCGCTTTTCTTTTGTGGATGGCCGCTCAATATCGGTAACAATGGACCATTTCTGTTACCTATGTATTGTGCTCTGCCAGTTGCATCACTTGATTTAATTGAATGTATTATATATTGTTTGAATGATCACAATAGTCAATACTGAGCTAATATAACATTGTCCCACTCTCTCTACATCAAGGTCCAATGGGTTTTTATTTATTTATTTTTTTGTGTGGCATATTCCCAGTCATCTCTGTTATATCTCATTTCAATAGGTCATCTTAAATTATTATAGCTAATCACTTGTTTCCTATAAGCATTCAGTGAAATGTGATATCAGGACTTAAACTTCAACACTTTCCTATGAAAAGACCCCCATTTATATTTATATCTTTTACATTTTACACCTGTCACTCACATCATATATAGACCACAAAAGAAAAAAGATTCATTCAATCATTACATTATACACTCACTCCACCACACATGCACACAAACCATTGAAGCAGGTTACACGCGGGTGTAACGTTCACTTTATCCGAAGGGAAAAATTATCCTTTACGTAACGCGCGATTTACGTCTTGGTAACTAAATTATTCAAGCGCTATTTGTCAGAGCGACACAAATGCGCGCGCGGCTCACCTATCCAACACTCATGTTTACATCGTATCAGGCAATGGTTCAGTTTAATTATGGTAAGGGCACAGCCTGTCAAAAACCCTTTTCGCATGATCCGTCGACACCGCCTGAAGGTGACTGCATAATAACGGATCAACGTGGAATCAAACGTTAATAAGCTTGCAGCTTCCGATGACAATGTATTCAACCTGGTGTCATGCTTAAATTGGTTTTGGACCTCTTCATGCTTTTAATTTATTTATTATTGTTATTTGGTATTATGAGCTGATATGTATATATACATACGGTATCTAAAATTAAGCGTATAGTGAGCATATTTAACAATTTTTAAGCAATAATGTATTGCGAGCAGCTGTAACTTAAATATCGCATACAAATCATATAATTATAACTCAAAACTAAAATTTTATTGGAATATAGGTTAAACTAAGATAAAATTAATGTCAGACCCGTCGCCACTCTCAGCAGTCAACCAGGGCTCATAAAAGCTTAACGTTCACCAACTGTGCTAATGTGAGTGGCGGTGTGGTAAAACCCATTTTAACAGCGTGAATATTTATCAAATACAAGCGCGCTAGCTGCTAGCATACTTGTATCATTTAATTTTAAATCAAATTTATTTGGATATATATTTATTGATTATGCATTGAATTGGTGATAAATAATAAAATTGTCTTTTCTCAAAAATTGTCTTTTCTGGACACCTGAAGATTCAGAACTTACCTTTCGATCCAGTTCATTCTTATCTTGGTAAGTATTCAGTGGCGTAACGAAGGGCCCCGCTGACCCCGCTGTACAGGGGGGCGCCGTCTTAGGGGGGCGCCAAATCGTCGTTTGAATGTGGGACAATTATGAAAACTTAACTAAAGTACTAGCAAAACTGCGCGTTTTGCTCTAGATACACACTTTTTTAGAGATTTTTACCGGGGTATCCTCTAAAATCACCTAATTTGTTCAATTTTAGGGAGGGGCACCAAAAGGGGAGGGGGCGCCAACAGGGGGCGCCTTTTCGGCAGGGGGCGCGGGTGCCAACAGGCAACGTTACGCCACTGTAAGTATTGTTTTTTATCTATAGACACCTTTTATATTGTTTTATACATATTCTCTCATTAAGATATTCCATGATTGCTATTTACTTGTTTGTAATCGATAATTGATATCTATTTATTTCAGCTTGATTAACACCATTTGTACTGCGTTTCATTAAGAGTCGATATCAACTAACAATCTCAACATATGATACCTAATAAGAGATTTGCGACAGATACTTGGCACAAATTTTAATGATTGCAATGGAGTAGATGGTGCACTATTTTTTGCGCACTATTTCATCATTTTATTCGTCATTACTCATTCTAGAGAGCACGATTAAAATAAGGCAGAGATTTATAATAGCTAGCATTAGGCAAGAAGTATCCAGTTGTTCTGTTTATGTACATTGTTTTGAGACATTTTCACAGCTAGGAGTCCCAATAACGGGGTAAATGGATGGAGACGTTTTCACTAAAGATACAAAGTATCTATGACAACTATAGTGCAGTAAATTATAGTCCTATCAACTATTATGGTTAACTATATGGTTTACAGTGCACTACAAGACGTGCACCTAAGATTGATATTAAATAATGATAATAATTCTATACAGTTACATAATTGAAACAATTATGGCCCCTAACTGTGGGTAGAGTATCTTTGTTGAAGTGTCCTGGTATAAAACTTATCTGAGAGACTGCATTAAAATAATTTAAAGAGAGTTCTCTTAAAACTGTAAGACACTAGGAATAAATATTAGGACCTAATAAAATCAAAACAAAATGCAGCCACCTAGTTTGTTGTGAAGCTTTCTCTTCACCTACGTTGACGATTGACTAGAGGAACCATCTTTGGCGAGTATTAGGAACTTAGACCATTACAAATCACAAATACCGTGCTGTAAGTTTGCAAGGCATGTGGACTAAGTGGGTCAAGAGTACTCGACTTGAAATGGACATTAAAAGATTTTAGATCTTTTGAAAGCGTCCTTCCTAATTAAACTCTCAATTTTGAATTTCCCGATTACTTGGCAGAGTAGATCAAAGAATATTGTATATAGTGTCGTCTAACCCGGCGCGCGTCCTGGTAGGTTGTAAACCTACAAACAATTGTAGCGCGATGCACTACTGGGCCGCGCCGCGCATCAAATGATTCTTTTCGCAATTCTACTTCAGTAGATCGGCAAATGCACCCGTGCACCGATGGGCCTCGCCGAGCTGCAAAGGATTGACATAGTGAATCAAAGTGGACAGGGGTCCAATAGAAGCCACGTCAAACAAATCTGAGTAATATTGCAGAATTTTATCCGAATCCTTAGCTCAATGTTTCGACTTGTCATACGTTGTATGACCCGCCGCGCACTCGTGCGCGGCTCCCCTGTATCGAAGGAACTCTACAGGGTGAAACGACGATGGGGGTCACGACGTGATACAAATTTCGACTAGGTACTTTATTGTATCAGTTATCACGTCGTGACCGTACCCCCATTGTCGTTTCACTTTACAGGGGGAGCCCGGCACTCGTGCGCAGCGGGTCATATAGCTTGATTTTTGTCAATTTTTGATCGAAATCGAAAAATCAAATTTTGAATATTTGTAATATTGTATTTCATTGTGCTATAATATGATATAGCTGTACTTACTCATTTGAAGAATATAAACTGTAAACACTGCTGTAGCTTTCATCGTTGTCCATTGTTAATGGACTAGCCCGGCGCTCGCTACTTCGTAGCATTTGCCTTTGTAGCGCGATGCACTACTGGGTCGCGCGCGCGCATCCAATAATGCTTCTCGCAACCACGTATGCAGATCGGCGAGATGCGAAGGATTGACATCGTGAATCAACATTTGCCTCAATCGGGCCTAACATTTCTTACTGGGCCGCGCTCAGCCTGTCATTCCGCTTAATCTCTATTATGTTTGTAAACATGATAGCCTGAGTGCTGAGGTCCCCAGGTAAAAAATTTCAAGAAGAAAGCGGCGCGCGCAACTTCGAAGAAATTTAGACTAATAACATCCGTCAACTTTCATCGTAACTCAAGTTCAAGTTGACACACGCTGCAACCTTCTCATACGTTGCATGCCACTTTTCGCGCGCGGAATAATATCTTTGATGTTTGTGATACGCAACATGTATCAACTGCAACCCCTTTTGATCGCGCGCGAAGGGCCCCTAAAGGCTCTCTCGCCGAAGTGCACGACGCGCGAGAGAGGTATACAACGTGTAGAAAAGTTTAAGAGTAAACCAGTACAGCCCTGCGCGCGCTCGGAAGATTTGATTATAGTGGATAGGTTGACATAATATAAAAATGTACAGTGTATAAATGATAAAACTTGAGTTACCTGGGGGACCCCAGGCTATTATATTTATGTTTATGATCATAATGGAGATTTGGCGGAATGACAGGCTGCGCGCCGCCCAGTAAAACTGGAGTGGTTCGAATCTAATCACGGGTTATATTTAAGAGCTTATTTTCTAGTCTTACGAATAGACGCACATCATGTATCCAAGATACGCTGTACTGTATACGCTACTATCCCAACGGCAAACGGGTTGGCCTGCACTCTGGACAATGGTTCATTGTTGGGATTTTACGTTTTCTACATTTTGTAATTTGACTTGATAATTGATAATGTTAGGTCGATCTTCATCAAAGTGATTTCTAGAATTTGAGAGATTTTCGAAGTTCCAAATTAAACAATTATTCTTTTTAAAACTCATAAATAAAAATCCACATATTATTCCTCAGCGACAATGGCAACTTCCTCCTCTGCTTCCTCAACAGCAACTTGTGAGGCGCTCATAACTTGAGAGGCGATACGATCGGCGTCCCGTCGTCCGGCACTTGTGATCATTCTTCCACCATCGGGATGATTGGCGATCAGTTTCATCTCTACGAGCCCTTTAAGAGCGTGTCTGATGACGGAAGCTGATGCGTTTTTGTGGTGACTGGGGGCTGATCCTCTGTTGATTCGTCCTCCGTAGATTTTCCTCAAGGAACCGGTTCCTACACCCTGTCTAAGATATACTCTTCTCAATAGGGCTGCTGATCGAATGTAATACCAGTCATTGTCCTGAGAATTTACTGGAGTTACAAACCAATGATAGTAACAAAATAATGATTCTATACAACAATGTGGGCTAGGAGTACAGTGTAACAATTGTTACTATGATCCTGTCTCAGAAATTAGAAATTAGAATATAAAATAAAATGAGTTTGAAAACAGGAAGTTAAATATTACATATGTCATAATTTACCTTAGGTGGGAGCTCTTTGAAAGTGGCAGTCTTTACGATATCAGTCCACTTGGGAATTGTCAGTTTTCCTGATTTCTTAAGGAATGCGGCGAATTCTTTGACCCACATATGTGACTCAACATCCTTGAGGGTGACTCCTCCGGTGTGCTTCTCCTTGTATATGTGCTCCTTGATAGGACCAAGAGATTGGTACGAGGCCATGCTGCTAAACACTGAGAATGTTTAATTAAATTTTGTTATTTGACAAATAATTTGAATGGTTAAGCAGATTTGGCAGATTTTGAAAAATTCCGCCATATTTAAGTTTGACTGAAACATTTTCTGTCGCAGATAAGTATACTTTCGAATTTCATCATTCAATCAACATACATAACATGAACACAACAATATATTTACACATTTCAAAAAGTTTTTCGTAGTTAGTGGACTCTCGCAAAACTGGATCAAAATCGAGCAGGTTCCATTAAAAATCATTAAAAAAGCAGTTTTCAAAAAACGCAAAAATCACTCCTCAAAAACTTCAATATCAGGTTCTTGTGACATGTCTATTATATCTAAAAGCTGAGATTTTTGTTGCGAAACCCTTCTATCAATGAGCCGAAAGTCAACCGGACATCCAAATCTGGTGCTAAGCAATTCCTGGATGTACTTTATGGATTCTTCTTTGTTTTCTTGTGTCTTAAAGACTGGCTGCTTCTGAAAATGGAATATAAGCGTTACTTAACATTAAAATACAATGAAACTTGACAATAAGTAGGTTTTGTAAGTAACTCAGTATAACGTCGCCATTTAGGGCGGGAGTTCTGATGAAAGATGATTTAGAAGTAACAGAAAATGATAGGGCCAAGATAACGTAGTTAAATGATGCAGTGTAGTCAGAAATATTCAGGAACTTAAAGTCATTTGGTACTTAATGAACGGTTAGTAAACTGTGCGATTATGAGGAATTAACAACAACCTATGAAAACTATTGTAAACTAGGAGTTCATTTTGTGCCCTAATCCGTGTTTTCATTCTGAAGAACTTTTATCAGTGAGCTTAAACATTTGTCATACCCAAACACACCCCAGATCAGTATATATACTAGCGTAAAGGACACCAAGACAGTATTTTTATTCACATATTGTTATTGTTATTCTAAGGTATGATTTTTTTTCTTCCGCATATAAGAAAATCAAACTAAGCAATATTGAAATTATTACTAAACTTAATAATAATATATAGTAACATTTCTAGCTGCAGAATTAAAAAACTCTCCCTCTTTAGTAGATGGGAATACCGTTACAGAAGATGTCAGACTGCACCTGTTCAAAGACAGCTGATCTAGAGTTAAACAGAGAACTTCTCAAAGTATTCCTGGAAGACGATGAAATATTCGTGAAGGGCAATGAAGTCAGGAATGCTGAGTTTACGGAGCTGAGCCACATTCCTCAATTCACCGTCTTCGTTGAGAAGCATATGAAGAAAGCCCACGCCACAGCACACCAACTCTCCGAACTGGACGTATCGGAGATGATAGAAGCTCTCTCTGATCTAAAGAACCGCCACCCTACCAGTGCCTACGTGGACTATCTGACCAGGATAGCCTTGTTTAAACATGAAGACACCAAGAACATGACTCTTCCTCCTCCTTCCCAAACACTCCCACGAGCTTTCTTCTGCAAGGACCATCTCAAAGGTCAGCGCTCATGTGTAATTGTATTGCGCGAGCGATTTTCAATCGCGCGTCCTGAAAATCGAGTCTAAAAATCTATCTCCTCCTACATTTTTTGAGCAATCACCTTGAAACTTTCAGGATATGTTCTAAGGACCATTTAGAAACTTTTACTCTTTTTATAATTTCGAGATAGGCCTTTAAAAATTTTTTATTCGATTTTGAAAATCTTGGACCTGAAAAAATCGTCAAAAAACGAGGTCTAAGATTTTCAAAATCGAATAAAAATTTTTTAAAGGCCTATCTCGAAATTCTAAAAAGAGTAAAAGTTTTTAAATGGTCCTTAGAACATATCCTGAAAGTTTCAAGGTGATTGCTCAAAAAATGTAGGAGGAGATAGATTTTTAGACTCGATTTTCAGGGCGCGTGATTGAAAATCGCTGAGCGCTGACCTTTGACCGGCAATAATTTCGGCTAGGAACAAAATTTTTCCATGGGACCAAAAATATCTGGTAGATCTTAACCGGGGGAAACAACCTTCTCGGAAGCGCAGCAACCCTTATTGGTAGCAAAGCAACTCTGGATCCAGAAAACAAGCTGGATTGGTGGAGACAGGACCCCGGACTCTCCGAGCACCACTACAACTGGCATGTCTACTACCCCTTCGCTGAGCCGGTAAAAGATAGGCAGGGAGAGCTGTTCGCGTACATGCACCAGCAGATGCTTGCAAGATACAACTTTGAAAGGCTAGCAGTGGGTCTCTCTCCTGTTGAACCTTACGGACCAGGTATTCACTGGGATGATCCTTTACCTGAAGGTTTCAACCCAAAGTTAGAGGACTATTCCTTTAGGGCTTCATTCATGAGCATACCTGACAGTGTGACGTTAGGTTCCCGTCACATTCTGGCGAGTAACATGGACACGAACAAAGAGAGGCTCTATATAGCCATAGCAAGAAATCATCTAGAGGACCCTACTGGTAACAGAGTTCAATTGACGATGGACAAGCTAGGATGCTGCGTGGAAGCGAGCACTGGCTCAGCGAACAAGGAGCTCTACGGGAACCTCCACAACAACGGTCACGTGATGATTAGTTTAATGAACGATCCTGATGGGAGGTATAACATAGACCCTGGAGCAATGATCGCAACGGAGACAGCAGCCAGAGACCCTGTATTTTACAGGTGGCATAAGTTCATTGACACTATATTTGAAAAATACAGACGGTTTAGCAACATTCTGTCTTATACAAAGGAAGATCTGAAGGTGAGAGGGATAGAGGTAGATGATGTCTCTATTATCTGTGAGCCTGATCCAGGATTAGGGCCATGCCAAGAAGAGCTTCGCGACCAACTTTTCACCAGGATGATAGAAAAAGAACACACTATCTACAAAGACCGCAAGGAGGAAGTCCTTCGCACAACATCTCTGCAGCATCTCCCCTTCACCTACCACTTTAAAGTCTGCAATACGAGAGAGGAGGACGCTACACTCGTTTTCAGAGTGTTCCTGGCTCCCATTAGATATGCTGAGGACCTCGACCAGAGAAGGAACGATTTTGTAGAGATGGACAGGTTCGTGGCAGAGATTGACAGTGGGGCAGAACAGACTATCACCAGATCATCTGAGCAATCCTCAGTTCTCCTTCCTCCTACCCTAACTCTACAGGATATACGAGATAGGAAGAACTCTGACTCTCAGGCTCGATGTGGATGTGGCTGGCCCAGGAACCTGCTAGTCCCCCGGGGTACCTCTGATGGAATGAGTGCTGATCTTTACGTGTTGGCGACTGATTGGAAGGAGGATGCAGTAAGTCCTGATGCTCATCTCTCTGGCAGCGTGGCTTTTTGTGGAAAGATAGGATCTGATTACCCTGATAAGAGACCCATGGGATTCCCATTCGATAGGGAATTTTTATTTGAGTCGCTGGAAAAGATGGTAATGGAGGTGCCTAATAGCGCTAAAACTGAGGTTAAGATAACATTTCTGGGACACGAACCGTTCAATCATTCGGCTTAATCGGATTTAATTTTTTCAATCATTTTAAGGAGCCTGAATTTATTCTTCGCTAAAAAGACACTTGGCTCTTGCTAGATTTGAGTTTTATTTTTGTTTTGAGATCGATGAGTTCGTTGCATGCTCAATAAGAGGTGACATACTATGTACTATTTTTATTATCGATAATTTTGTAATGATTACAATAATACAATTACTTGATCTTTAAAGAACGGTGTTAACTTCAAAATAAAAAATTGTATTCAATTAAATATATGTATCATATTCCATATATGCATTAAACGCTACGAGTTTTTAGGGTTTTTAGTTTAATCGCGAGGAAAATTCGTATCAATAGTGAAATACACTCACTCTGAAAATGGCGAATTCGATGGTCAGCTTATCTGCTTCTTCTTTGTACCCGATAAACTTGTGATCCAAATCGTACGCTAGATGATAGCCTGCCTTCTTCAAAATCTAAGATGTCAAGGTAAAAGGAACCGTCTAAATAAACTACTAATAAAGTTTCTTATCGTATAAAATTGTTAAATCAGATGTTTGGCCAACCTAAATACCAAAGATTTTGAACGCATCTAGTTCACCAAAAAAAGACACCCAATAAACAAACAAATAAGCTAAAACTGACCTCAGCCCGGACGATAGTGGTTACAACACTCTCAATATCATCAGGAGAGACAACATCGGGACCGTACTGCCAGGGACGGTGCACGGCCAGCTGTCTTATTGTGTACCATATGTAGTTGACATGTGTACCTTGTAGAGCACTCAGTGTCACTATCTGTGTGAGACACAGAGTTTAGTTACCCGGGTAACAGCTTACAGTTACCTACTGAAAACCCAGCTCTTTTTAACTAAAGAGTTCGGTAGACGGTAGTATGGGGAAAAGTTTAAAATTGTCACGCTGAAAACTCCAAGCCATGTTCAATATTGCCTTATTACAGTTACACAGTCTTCGCGTGATACTATCAGTAGAGCATTAAAGTATGAGTAGATGATCAAGAAATCTCAGTTTTCTAACACTGGAAAATACTTACCTCATCAAATTCTCTGCCATCTCTGAAATCATCCTCGTATTGTAATCCAAGAAGGGAAGGGTTGATATCAGATCTCATAGCTATTTCGGGAACAAGAAAGGGGGGTCTGGGGGTTGTGAGCTGTTCCACTATGCAATCAATCTTCTCTCCTTCTCGCGCTTTGTCGATCTGAGAGAATCAATCGTCACTACACGAACAGTAGTGATTAGCGCTTCTGAATGGTTAAATCTAGGGTATTCTCTGAATAATACTATTACTATTAATGAATTAATATAGTATTGAGTGATAATTGAAGGAACTAAATGAATGGTTTTACCGACCCTGTTAATTATTTAAAAATTGACTTCAACGTTGTCTGTTTCATAATTTTACAAAAGTAATGACAAGTGTACCTTGTTGAGTACCAGTATTTTAGGAATATCAGGAATGCTCTCAATAACATCCTCTAAATCCGCCGTGATGAACAGTCTGTAGAGGGACAAGGAGCAATCAAACATGAAGAGAGCCACGTCAGCCTCTAGTAAGGAGTCCTGTATTGTTGTCAGTGATTTGTGGTAGTACTCCTTCATTAACGGCTTCTGGTGTCGTGTTTTGAACTCACCCGGTAGTAGACCTGAGCTTCAACAGGTAAATAGAACGGGAGTAGTGGTCCTAGCTGGTGATAGCTTACGTTGTATGTATCCTACTGAAGCAAGACTATAACTAGGGGTCAAGGCCAAAGGACGCAAAGACAAAATAGAAAATTAAAAAAGACAAAATTGAAATTAAACTACGGCTAAATATGCTTTAAACGTATCATTATCTGCCATGTCTCGGTGCATGCTAGGAGTACTATGTGTAGGACTAAAACAAACCTGGTGTATCGACGAAGACGACCTGAGTATCGTCCTGGGTGATAACACCGAGTACTTCCCCCATGGTGGTGTTACGGAGTTTGGAGACAGGGGAAATGTACTGCTGCATCAGGGAGTTCAGCAGTGTTGACTTTCCTGGGAGAGAAGAGTTGATAAGACGAGTAAAATGTAATGGGATAACTTCGTTAAAAATCACCAACTATTAGACACCAATCCAAAATCAGCAGAACATAGTTTACGAAAGAGTACAAAAGTCACCAAAGAAAGAATTAGAAAGTATGTTAGTGCTAGTTAAATCAAGATATTAACAGTACAAACCTACATTTGGTGACCCTATGATTGCCACTCTAACAGACTTCTGTTCATCTTCCGGAATAGACGTACTTCCAGAAAACCCAGATACAAATGAACGATAAGGCGGACGTGATACCGTCGTGTTTTGTAGGGAACATAGTCTGTTTTCTTGGTAACAGATCCTGTTTTCAACAGGAGAGGGAACAGTAAGGTAGGAGGATCTGGATTGTAGTCGAGCTAAACGGGAAATAGATCTCATGCTAAGGACATGAAAAGTTAAAATAATATCAAACTTTACACAAAATTCCATGACATTGAAGGTATTTTTTATTTCGAACACAAATGTTCATAGTTAGCTTTTTTTCTGATGATCTTCGTAAAATTTCTCTCATATCAAACGAAGACGAAATTAAATTGATAGTAATGTTCTCCAAGGACAGTAATAATAATTGTGTGGTATGTTAAAAGCAAAAATCTCAATAAATTATAAAAAGATACGTCAAGTTTACACGCTTTTCTTCGAACATAACATACCATCATCTAGAATCTAAGAATAATTTACCCAACCACTGTCATCTTTTATCACGTACCATGTCCATAACTGAAGAATTCTTTAAAGTACGGACATCAAATATTAAAACCAGACCTAAACGACTAAAACCTCCCTCACACAAAAAGCCAAATATCACCGTCAGCACCACCGGTATAAATCCAGGGTTGCTGAGGATGGAAAACATTGCACAGCACCCCATACTTAGTAGTAACTTTGTGTCCTCTCAGCACTTTCACCGGTACTACTAACGGGTTTTTAACGAGGTCATTATAAACCATACTGTGGGTTATAATAGTTGAACAATCATCTGAACTTGAAGCGTACAGAGGATATCGGGGATGAAATGAAACGTCTCTGATAGCTTTCTTGTGCTGCTGTAAACTTTTGTAGGGTTTCACTGACAAGTCCATATCAAACCAGACCAGGGCCTTGTCGTAACTACCCACAATGAGGTTATCCCCCTTAGGATGAATAGCCATACAGGACGCCCACTTTACACTGCAGATTAGCTTTCTAACCATGGCTTGCTTAACCAGGTTATAAACTCTGACATATCGCTGGGATAGAACGTAGAAGAACGGTTTGCTGGGGTGAAACTCGACTTGTTGGATCTGACCTTTTGATTTGTTAAAGGGTTTCTGACTTGAGTTTTTGGCGACGTTGTGGATGAGAACGGGACAGGACTGACTGTCTCTCATGGTGACAGCCAGGTAGTTACCGTTGTTATGCCACGTGATATTATTGATGTCATGATTGTGGACAAGTTTAGCCCTCAACCCATCCTTATCATTACCGAGCGGATACCACCGACAGTGATCCAACTCTTTGATATCAGTAAGTCCCTGGAGAAGTTTGTTGGTGGACTCCACCACCACTCTGTCCCCTAAACCAGGGTTAAGGAGGTACACAGTGTTACCACAAGCTGCCGCTACCATGCTGTGGACCTTGTTCCATTTCACGCTGGTGATGGTGTCTGGTAACGCTATCTTGTTTAGTACCCGCCCAGTCGAGCTCTCCCAGATTCTCAGCATCTTGTCTTCTCCCCCAGAAACAATGAACTCGCCAGATTTGTTGGAGTCGATGGAGTAAACGTGGCCTTCGTGGTCGCTGAATTTTACTGCCTTGGTCGAGGGGAAAGGTTTGAGGTCCTTGGGTTTCGGAAGTTTGGGCAACAGGTCATCTGGATTCATGTTAAGTTTCATCTTCATCTTTCTGGGACACAGGTAGAGATCTAAACAACGATCAAACTTCTCGTTGATCAGTTGAGGATACGCAGGAACATGACGCAAGCAGGAATATTTCTGAGGTAAAAAGTTTTGGGTCCTATCCACTTCGTCAGTATTCTCCCATTGGTCCCTCTCCTCCTGGGTTGGCAGGTACTCTGCTGGAGGATTGTAAGACTCCTCGTTACCGGGAAGTGCTAGTTTTGGAGCGGGGATGTGCATTGGATTGTGTTTCTGAGGTTCTTCTTTGTTGGCCCACAGATCAAAGTAAACTGGTTTCTTTGGAGTGTCATCCTTGGGTTTGATCCAGCCGTTTCTAATGGCTCTGATGATCTTCATTACTTTCTTGTGCTCGTGCTTTGAGGGTATGAATCTTCTCTTAGGTTCTGGAGTATCAACGAGGGGGGTCAACTGCTTCTCGTTGGTGAAGAAGTCAACATACGGTTCATAAGGATCATATCCCAGATCTGGATAAGCGTTACTCCTAATTCTTTCAATTATAGCCACGTCGTCATCCTCCAAAACGATGTCCTCTCCTTCACGTTTGTTGTGGACAGTTCGCCTATAGTCAGGATTATCCATCCTATCGAGAAGCTTATCCAACTGGTCTCCCTCCTTATGGGTCTTAGCCACTTTCTCTCCGTGGATATCATATCCGATATGATCGTAATCGTCATACCATTCCATTGGAATGTTGCCGATCCTGTTTCTGATCTCCTCTTCGTCGGAAGAACAGTCGCTGTCATTGTAATCGTTAGGTCGAACTAGAATTTTCTCCCCGGGCAAGGCTTCACGGTAGTCATTTTCCCCGAAGTCAAAGTCTTCGTCTTCACTATCATCGCCTGATTCCAAGGAGAAATGCTCCACTGAGTCCAGAGCGTCCAAGGTTTCCAGGGCGGTGAGAGGTAGTTCGGAGGCCAGCTCTAATTCGGAGCTTTCCAGTGGCCTTTTGCTCATGACTTGCTATAGGAAGGTTGCTTTGTTAGTTTAAGAAACAAATCTGTCAAATTAATTATGCAGTACATTAGACAAGTGGTTACGAATTTTTCTGCATTGAAAATGAATTCTGCATTGAGAATGAAAAATATTGCCAAAAATTGTACAAAATTGATTACAAGATTCCTTGAAACATTAATTCGAATGATTCAGTGAGACAAAGTGGATGGTCGTATAATAAAATTAAAAAATAAATACATTTAACGATAAGATTTCTGGTATTTGGCACGGGCACCTGGACCTCCGAATTTCTTGGGTTCGCATCTTCTGGGATCGGCCACCAACATAGACTTATCGTAATTCAGAAGGATATCTTTGATCTCTTTCTTCGATGTTTCGTCCACGAACTTTTGGTAGTAAGCTACGAGAGATTTAGAGATGGACTGTCGGATAGCGTACACTCGGGCAGTTGCTCCACCACCTGGGGAACAGATAGGTTAAAATGAGCGGAAATGAGATCCAGGATAAAACCAACATTTTAATGACAAACTACGATGGATCACAATCACATATGTGCAAAAATCCGTTTCTTAACAATACTGACATTCAATCAAGACATAATTTATTTGATGGAATTTGAAAGAAAGACGAACCTCGGACTCTGATCCTGATGTCGACACCCTCGAATCTCTTCTTTCCGAGAAGTAGGACGGGCTCCAACACTTTGTATCTGAGGGCAGAAGGTTCCAGAAGATCGATAGGTACTCCGTTTACTTTGATCATACCATTTCCTTCTTTGGTGTATGCCACTGCCGTGGCGGTCTTCTTGCGACCAAACACTTGCACTGATTTGACCATCGTCTCTTGGCTAAATAAGAACATTTGGATTAATTAACAATAAAACGTCAAAATGAGGGAATGAAGTTTTAGATACCCGATTCTCAAATCGGGGGAATTTAGAAGCAATAATAAATCGTTTATGAATATGACTAGTCAAATAAATGGGTTGACACCCTGAAAATGTATGTTATTTAGGGCACTTAAAATTCAAAATGTACATTGACAAGGACCAGAAACAACATCAGTAAATAACATCAAAATACAAAGAGTAATAATTTACAAACAGCGAAATCATTAGGATCGCTAATTAAATATACAGGGTGGCCAAGAATAAACAGAGTTCAATTCAGGATACTGGAGGGTCACAGAAGAAGTACCCAGGACAGCCCAACATCTTCACACTTTCAAACATAAACAGATTCGATTGTACAATCTCACGACCTTGAACAGGACATTATTCAGTCAACCGGGTCATTTATTTTGGATTCAAAGTTAACATTAATCCATCTATGTAAAACAGGATTTACACCTGTAAATTTATTAACATTCTGCATTTTCTGCCCCCCTTTCAGCAACCTCAACAACTCCTCTGACAGCGGCTCAGTCTTGTCGTCATGAACCGTCATCTTCGCTCCCGGAGGTATCGTCCTGTTAACAGTATCCAGAACAATATCCACCTCCGTTCCCGGAACATTACTAATCCGGATAATCCGACGGTGTGTTTTCAGGTAGATAGTCTCGTCTAGTCGCCTGGAGAACTTGTTGGGCGGTTTCTTGATTGCTATTTTCTGAACAGTGGTGGGGAGAGCCACCCTGCCGTCCACATTGTACCCCACCTGTTTGCAGTAGGTGGAGGTGTGCTTTATGAACCGCTCCAGTGCGGTGTCGTCATGACCGGAGATGTGGAAGTGGAGTGCTAAGCGGAGTGAGGGTGCATCAAAGTTTGTCTCGTATGCTATCTCGGTTCTATCGGAGAGGGAGCGGGAGTGAGACAGGGTGAGGGGACACATTCGCTTGGTTAGGTTTCGTAACATCGTCCTATTGAAAAGAGAGGAGTTTAAAAGAGGAAGATTAATATAAGAACAAAAATCGTTATTAAAACTGTCGGAAACATTTAATATCATGCATTGGAATCACTGTAAACTTGAAGTGAGAATATCAGAGACTTTCAAAAACCATTATCAAATAATCAAACATGTTAACAATATTACAAGCTCATAAACTAAACAGTTGAAATTGAAAAAGGGGTAATCGGTATTAACATAACAGTTTTTCACATAAGATTCATTCACATGGAATCTCTTCCTCAAACCATAAAATGAGGTTCATTTGTACATACATTTCGAACATCTGCAAATTCTGAAGTCATAAGGGTTTATATCATTGACACATCGCACCATCACCAAGACATTCTTTTCGCAATTTGGGACGATTGATGATCTTAGCCGGGTTCTTCGAAACCATCGTCATTGACCAAACTTCTTAAGCTGTCAAACTCATTTCCGACTTCCTGTTTAACTTGGTCGTTTGTTTCAGAGTAGAAACTTTTGACAAACTCCAGGGGTATTTCTGTTAACCGTTCTTCTGTTATTGCCATGGTGACACCTGCAGAAGGGAGGCGTATTGTTAGCTATTGGAATCGACGATGCAAATATTTATAATACTGAATTTAACACAATTAAATTGACTTGTATTTGCAAGCTGCATTTTAACCTTCTATTGAAACGATTTGTTATAACCACTGTAACAATTGGTCATAATAACAACAAAAAACGACAGATAAAAAACAATTCCAACCTGCGGGTATGTTCCTCTGAACGTAACTAAGATACACATCAGCAGTAGTACCGGAGATATCGTGTAGGATCAGTTTCCGGTTCCACAGGTCTCTTTTAAACCGGTCCTTGTGTTTACCGTGTACTACTGGCGACTTGTTCACTGTGTACACTCTGTAACGGATGACTGTAACTAAATGTGCCAAGCATACAATTTCAATAGAAAATCCTGATATCATTATCACCTTGGAAATCAACCAATTCCCATATTTTCGTCCTAATGTATTTCTTGTTAAAGCTACAAACACCACACGTACCCTGTGACAAGTTTGCCAGGTTCCATGGTAGACTGGATATCAAGACACTCAGCAGTGAAGTGAGAGTATATAAAGTAACTTCTCAGCGTACTGTAACAGCTGGCCTTCATGGAGAGTACCAGCCTGCTTACATACCGCTCCCCTGCTGGGTCTATCTCCGGCTGGGGGACTCAAAGTTAGTTGTGGTATTAAGAGAGAAGGAATGGGAAGAGTATGGAACATTTATTGGCTGTAACGTACGTAACTAAGAATTATTATGATCCATGGAGATACCACAGACAGATCCGGCCTTGGTATAATAAGCGAGATCCCTATTATTGTATTAAATATTCACCAGAACTTACCCTCAGGGCAGACTTTTCCAGTTGTTCGACATCGGCCGTGTAGCGCCTCGGATCCAAACTTTCTCTGTGCTTTACGAATAAGTGAGGATTTACTCGGTCGTACTTAGAATCTGATCTTGTAGCGGCTTCTCTTTCCGTGTAGGGTTCTTGGGGTGGAATCTTAGCTTTGATTTCACTTGGGTCAAACTCCACCTGTAATGGCAAAACGTGAAATATAATAAATCGTGCTCGAGTTATTCTCAGACGTTTCAAACATAATTGACTTAAAAAGGGGCCAGAAATTAGGTAAAACTATCATAACAAGCTTACCACGTCCATAGCGAACTTTGCTTTGCCTGCTTTAGTGCCAACATACCGATGACAAGTACAGCTAAGAGTGGGTAGTGCTCCTGAAGCTAAAACTGGAACTGTAACTGAAGTCCAAACACCCAGTCTGGAGAGTGTCTGTCTTAACATTGCTAGAGAATACATCAGGTTAGTATTTTATTGAAATGAATGAAGACGAAGGAAAGTTTTTTGGTTAAGGAAAGGAGGTAAACAGTAAAACAAGAAGATTTTGAAAATAAACTAGTAATATCCCCAAGCCAATATGGCAATACATTTCATATAACATTCTTAAACAACAAGTCCCCAAAAACATATCAATCTTTAAATAGAATATGTATCTAATAATTTTATCTCTTAATTGCATAAAATTATTTGTCTAATAACCATCTTAATCTAAAACGTTTATCACACAATATTTACAGACATAATTAAAGTTTGAATAAACAATTTTACAGAAATTCAACAAACAGTCTTATATTTTAATGATACTGTGACATTCAATTTCTTCTTTATACATTTCACCTAAAAGTCAAGGATAATTTCAGGATAATCTTATGCTGAGATAGGATCCTCAAAATCGTGGCAAATTTTCCGAGTACATGCCAAATTTTAGCAAACAAATTGTTAAGCATAGTAAATTTTATTGGCGAGATCTTTTACAAATTATGAAGTAAAAGTAAAATAAAAGAGGAATAAACTCAAGGAAATATGTGCATAAAAGGAACATCACTGAAGATGACTAGTGAACCTAAACTAGGATTAGTTATTGGATTCCTGTCCTATAAACTCAGGGTACTTCTCTTTAGCAACTCCCCATGTCATCTGCTCAGTGCACAGTTTGTTGATAAGGTCGGGTGTATCTGATACCGGGACACGAATCTGAGGATTATTGGTATCAAGATTCGTAATATGTTATTCAAGTTCAAATTTCCGACGTAGGAATATATTCAAGGCTTCCCAGGCTTATGTATTCTTTGGGTAACTGAAGCGACTTTGCATAACTGAAGCGACTCGAATGAGACATGAAAAGTAAAATTATTTTACCTGACTGCAGCTATTTCGATCTCTAACTGTTACAGATTGTTCTTTCATGGTATCGAAATCAATAGTGATACCGAAAGGAATTCCAAGCTCGTCAGTTCGAGCGTACCTCCGTCCAATGGATCCAGAAGAATCTTCAACCTACGGGGGAGCAGACGTTTGAAAACTATCAATTTGCAGTATTGGGCGGTTTAACGTACCTCATCTTAGATATGTCAGCAATAATCGGAATAAATAGTGCTTTACTTTCATTGAATGGGTTTACAGTTTACACTTCACATAAGATAATATTAACAACAAGCTCGCTACCCCATCCCTACATACCTTGTTAGGAATACCCAGTTTCCTGAGTGCAGCACTGAGGTCCTCAACGTAAGGGATGAACTCTGGAGAGTTACTGAGGGGAAGGACAGAGCACTTGGTGGGTGCTATCAGAGGGGGCAGGTTCAGCCACGTTCTCTTATCATCATTTTCTCGTACCTGGTGAGAGAAGTTGGTTAAGAAGGAGGACTCAGTCAGGCCAGACATTACTGAATATAAATAATATATAACCACCGTTTAATATACAATGTTCAATCATCAAACTTCTAAAATAATCTTGGCGTGGTAGTCATTAAACATTTGAAAACTGCTTTATGTGGTGCCTAGGATGTGTATCATAGTACCTTGAAGTTGCACTCCAGTATACAGTAGAGGATCCTTCCGATACCAAAAGAAGGTTCCACAACACTCGGCACGAACTCCCGAACATGTTCCGTCTTTGAAACCGTGCTTATACTCGTCACCATGGCCGGGGTTATCTCGTAAGACTTATCACCAACCACCAGTTTAAAGTTATCTGACTGGAGTTGTTCCTTCATCTTCAACTTGTCCTCGTCCTCCATGTTGTGGATAGCAGCGGTGACTCCACCGGCCTCCTTCTTGAACCCTTTACCAACAGCAGCTTTGTTCAGAGCAACTTCTACTACTTCCCTCGTGACGGGGGTGTCGAGGGTCTGTTTGGCTACTAGCTTCGTGGACGTCGCCTAAGGGGACAAGACTACAATTAGGAACTGACAAAAACCAAAGAAACTTTGCAAAATACCCTACGGTATAAAATGGAACCTTTGGAGGGTTTTATATTAAAACGAGCATGTTACAGAATCATGAGCGCCATAATTTACCTTTGCGTGAGCGTTGAGATCGAAGCAGCTCCTGTCAGCGCACCCCACTATCTCCACCCACCCGTATGTAGTCTTACACTCAGCGTCCCAACAGTCAGCCGCGTAATGCGCCATCTCTTTCGCAAGATGCTGTCTGAACCGGAGATTTTCATCGGGGATACCAACTTCTGACAGGTACTGGTGGATTCGGGCTATGAAATACCTGTCGAGAGAGTGAGTTTAATGTTAGCTGAGGGTTTAGTTATTAGAGTTAACAAATTAATTTATCTTTCATTAGTTAAATTCATAATTTTGTGAGAACTTACCCCATAGTTTCGTTTTCAAGGACACCTTTTTCCAATGCCTCTCCGACTGTAATGTGCTGCATGTCAGTTCCAGCCATTTGAGCCTCACAGGTATAAAACTTAATCTTAACATCCTTCACATTCTTAAATTTAGGATGAGATTTGTCCAACGGATCAAGAAAATGCTCGATTTCTGCCTGAGAGAGACACCAATTTAGGATTTGGAATTCTAAATAGCTCAGAGTACATAATGAAACCGAATAAAAAACAAATTATTCAAAACTTAAAATTAATTCACTTAATAAACTGACCTGACAGAATTCTCTGACTCTGAGAAGTCCAGACCTGGGCGATATTTCGTTTCTGAACGACTGTCCGATTTGGGCCCCTGCGAATGGTATCTTGTCTTGATTGTATTCCAGTAACCTCTTGTAGTTAACAAATATTCCCTGGTTGCATGGAATTAATAAATAATGACAGCTGAACTCAAGTAAAACTGTTATTTTAGTAAAATACGAAATCTATTTTTCATTACAACACCCTACTAAGGTAGTTTTAGTGATCACGAAAAGAGATAATAATAACTACATTTCCTAACCTGCGCAGTTTCTGGTCTCATGAACCCCTTCACAAGCCCAGAAGGTCCAATGGAGGTTCCGAACATGAGATTGAACTCTGATGGATCAGTGAGATCATTGTTAGTCACTGGTGCTTTACATCCGTACTTCTTTATCAACTCTCCTAACTCGTTCAGACCAAAACTGTCAATCTGTCTCAAAACAGCACCCATTTCCTCCTTCTTCTCGTCAGTCACCTTCTTTCCTTCCAGAGCTTTCTCCAAATGAGCCTCCAACAGGTGATCAGCCCGGTAGCAATCCCCAGTTTTAGCATCCTTCACCATGATATCACTAAACCGCTCCACGTGGCCTGACGCTTTCAACACTGTTGCAGGCATCAACATGGTACACTCAACCTCCAGCATGTTCTCTTCCACAACAAAGTGGTTCCGCCAGAAGTTCACCATGTTGGCTTTGAGAGCACACCCGGCAGGACCGAGATCGTAGAGACCTGCAACTCCACCGTACAGAGAAAATGCAGCTCCGTAGAAGAATCTTCTTTTCATGAGATTCTCGAATTTAGCACGATCTACTGTTGGCTTTTTGGTGGCGGCTATTGCTTTCTCCGCATTGGACAGAGCTAACTTTCTAATTTTGAGCTCGGAGATAGCTGCTGCTAGTTCGTCAGCAGATGCTTTGGACTCCTTGAGTTTCCGAACTATTGCCCCCTGCTGGGCTGCTGCTGCTTTTAACTCGTCCATGGGTAGGGCTGAAGCCTTGCTACTGTAACAGATTAATCTGGTTGAGATGTTAACAGATCGTAACCCAATTCGTATGAGGCCTGTTAGCATGCACCTATAGTGAGATATCTATATTATCCTGGGACACGAATAGAACTCAATAGATGGTAATGTAAAGAAGCATTTGATGCTGAACAACATATTTTTGAATGAATAAGTAGCGAAAGTAATACCTTATCAAGACGGTTCGAAATTTAAGGCAAAGGACAAATAACACGACATATATTGGCTGGAATCAAATGCCTCGGTCGGATTCCGTAAGACTGAATGGTCAACAGCAAAGTTCAAAATCAAATAAACAAGAGTCATCGAGTCGACCACAAGCGTTCACTTATCATAATCGAATGGATCGGTCCAAACTGGTGTCATCTTCACAGCTTCACTATATCTTCATTTCTTACCAACTTCATGATTCATATTACATGTGATTGATTCAAATTGACTGAGCAACATAAAGCCTCACAAATGATCATCCTAAAGCTTTGACAGTGTGCCTTAGCGACATAACCGCATCAGAAACCGACAGATGCTCGCACTGTTTCAAATATATGGAAATAGCAACAGTGTGTTTGTTCGTATCAGATCTGACCCAAATCCTGCCGTTCATCCCTACACAAAGTTCGAATGATTTGAAGTGGTTTAGGAGGGGTTGGGTAAGGGGTGATTTGTGCTGACGGAGTTTTCTGCAGAGACCCAGAGAGCACTGGATTATGTGACCACCTTCAAGTACCTAGAGCAGTGAGAAGACCACTGTTATAATTTATATTTAACATGGAAATGCAATAATCATTTGGATGTAAATTGAGATTTACTGCTATTCTAAGACCACGGAAAAACCCAAGGGACCACTACACTGATAAAGATTCATACAGCATGATATACAAAATTAACAGTACCTGAAGACCGTTAGCTTTGCCTTTCTTGTTGACACACGCAAGCTCGGGTTCCACGTCTTTATTAGCTGCGATCACTCTAGCAAACACGACATTACCCGGCTGAAGGGACGACAATATTAAACAAAAAGATTACAGTACACTAAACTAACAAACACTACCGTTGCTTTAACAATAGTGTCGCGACTTCAAGGAAACTGACATTGTACTTGTTGTATGAACTAAACTTTCTCAAAGGTTTTGCATTAGCAGACGTGATGCGTTAAGCAGTACAGTGTGGTGTACAGCAGTGATATTAAATACATACCTTTAGTTCAGGTTTATTTCGCTGAGTTGCTCCTTCGAACGCAATAGAGCTCATCATGGCTACATGGGCTCCTCCTATATCAATCCGGTATTCGTCCATTACACGGCCAATTATAATTCCAACCACTCGTTCCTCCAGCACTGGAACATACCTAGGGTAACGTAGAGGAAACAAGCAGAAAAAACAAACTAATTACACTCCACGTTGCAAAAAATCTGAGACACGACTAAATTAGGATGACGAGTAATCGAAACTTACCTCCGATTGTTCCTGTCGATCCAGACAGATTTGTCGTTAGATTTTATGACTCCTGGTTTCGTGCAGGTTATAGCATTGTTCCGGAAAACAAGGCCTGGTCCAACAGTGAGATCTTTGTTGGCTGGAATGTTGAACGTGTCCCCACATACCACTATACTCGGTTTATCTGGAATCTCCTTGGTCTCAGTTTCTGCCATGACTATCCTAATAAATAATTCTGATTAGGAAACCAAAAACAACCATATAATTGGATTAGGAGGAATCAGTTAAAATGAGATTGACGCTCACAATCCTATCGCATAATTGTGACTACCCGCGAATAAGAATATCTTTAAATCCACAAGATTTAGGTCGTGCGCGCAAAAAACACGCCCGGAGAAGTGTTTACTCGCTCGAGATTATGAAACAACCCATTAAAATGTCGTCCGCGCCGGCACTCTATTCAAGATGTAGACCCTTTCATGTCCCCCACCTCTACAGGCAGACTCCACTGAGCCGTTTTAAAGGGGATAACAGGCATAATGACAATCAGGCTAGTTCACGTGAGCAACATCTTACAGTGTTTATTTGTGAATAGATCACATCAAGATCGAGACCAACCATGAAATGCTCCGGAGCATTGGAATGATTAATTGAGTTGAAGTAAGGTTAACTAAAATCTGTTACGTGCCGTTAAATTACGTCACCAGCTAAGGATATAAAGAGTTGAGAGAACTGAGTCAAATAGCTGTCATACTAAGATCTACTGTAATTATGTGGGACCACTTCTTCAGTATCTAAGGTAGCTTTAAAATGTTTGATTAAAACACCTTTATGTTTTTGCAAGCGTACATTAAATCTAAGCTCATTTAGTTTTCTCTACGGCTGGCGGACACGGCGACAATTTTCGCCATCGATGGCGAAAACAAAATGACGCCTCTCCCTCTGTTTTAGTTTCCCAGAAATTGTATGCAAATGGGAAAGCCTGGAACAAAAATCAGGAGGCAGGCCATTTTATTGAATAGCAAATTATTAGAAAATAAATTCAAAGTATCAAGATCATCCATCATTTATTAAATCTAATAAAAATACCATTTTAAAAATATGATGTGACCCTCCTTCCGGGATTGATATGATACAAAAATCTATAAAAATAATCTGAGGTTAACAAAGCTAAAAATAAATTAATGAATGGGAAGTAACTTAAAAAAGGTTTTGATTGGAGTTTTTGAGTTCATACCTTCTCAGCTCTCCATTGCATATATGATTCAAGTTAAAAGTTTGCTTTCATGCAAAGATCAGGTGCTGTAGAGGACTTCACATGATCGGTCCAATGAGATCAGCACAACTTCAGTATTCAGTAAGTACCTCCCTAGTCCCTAGCCAGAATACTCAGCAATCTTTTGGAGGAGCATTGAAGCGTTACTAAGTAGGAGAAGCATATTGCAGTCACTGACTAAAGTTGTGCTAGCTGCAGCTTTGTCTTACCGGTACACGTTTTCAATATAGTTTTGGTATCTAAATCATCAAACCAAGTTTTTTATATTTAACATTTTACGCTTCTTTAAAGGATATACTTCTGGCATAACCCTATCACTCTCAGCTCTGTCTTATTCTACATGTCTTTCCGCAGAGAAAACCAATACTAAAACCTACCATTATACCGATAGCCAGCGCTAAAACAAGAGCAACAATTATCGTGTCTTGATCCGTGCTGCAAAACACCATAACGCTGAAATATGAATGAATGAGTGGATGAATTGGGAGAAGAATAAGCAACATCACGACATGCATACCTTTAACCTACATTTGTAATAAGTTAACTCTCATAATGCTTACAGCCTGGCCTATAATGATGGCTTATTTACTCGATGAAAGAAGTGTAAACGCTCACACTATGAAATTAAAAACACTGAGACACTGGTACATTAAAACCCCCATTTTCCCCCAAATACACAGTACACATACAGGGGGCCCATAAATCAGTGTCCAAATGATTCGTTTTATTTCTCAGTCACAGATTGTCTGATTGACAAACATTTTTCTGGTATAACTCATCACTTATTCAAATCACATGATGCTGAAAATGGGTGCTTTAGCTTCTCAGATGAATGAGATATCCAGTACGATGGGTTTTTTCATGACGTGGTATCAGGTGATTTAGCGGACACCACTATAAATAGGAATCGTCCAGGAAGCCCAATCAGGGTGTCGTATCACACTCAAATTATCATCATAACAATTTTGCTAACGAGATCCTACCTACCTATGTGGAGTTTCGTCAAAACTTGACGGGGCCATCACATTTTCTGACCACTCCATAAGCAATTCAATTTAGGGCGACAATCGAACTTTTGGTGACAGAATCCTCTAATGCGTAGTTACAGTATGCCATCATATCTGTAAAGTTATGTTATGAGCGAAAACGTTTCCACACTGACTTATGTGCCCCTGATCCCAACACTGTATAATTAATCAATATCCGATTTACTGCAGCTCTTTCTGAACTGCCAGTTATCTATATCAAATGCAGAAACCCGACTAATGAGGTAAGATTTAAGGGCAAGAAGATGGACAACAAATATGAGACCCCTCTATTAGAAGTCTCTCACAACCTCATCCCTGCCCCTATGATGGAGTAGACGTGGCATGTTCATGTGCATATATTTGATTGTTGATATTTCATACAATATTGGTAGCAATGGATAATTTTCGTTACCTGTGTATTGTGCTCTGTCAATTGCATTACTTGATTTAATTGAATGTATATATACAGTAAAACCCAGATTTACTGCGGAGTTTGGGGAAAGGAAACATCCGCAGTAAATCGGGGTTCGCGGTAAATCAGGGTTTTGTTTGTTCACATTATACATGTTAAGCCCTATTTGGGGGAAGGAGATGGCCGCGGTATATCGGGGTATTCGGTAAATCGGGGTTTTACTGTAAATTGTTTGAAAAAAATTAAGGGTTTGGAAAGACTAAAACAAGGTAGTAGATACCCTTACCCTAACCTAATCCTACTTTAGTCTACTCTTAGACTCTAATTCTAATTCTAGAGGCCGAGCTTTTTGGATGCTGCCCCACACTTAGTCATACAGGGGGGGTTGCAACGACCATTAATGACCATTAATGACAATGTCAGTTTTGTCAAAATTTCATCTACTGACATTAATGGTCATGTTTTTTCCGGCACTTCTTAGAGCGAAAAGGACGGACGCCTGCATCAATTAGACCCTACCTTGGCCTTAAGTTAACTAACTACAAGTATATCTTATTATTTTACATTTACAATTAGAGATTCGAGAGAGAAAACTTAGAATAGAATCTTCCGTGGTTAGGCAGACCTTCCAGAATATCACTTGAGTGGATTCCAGAGTGAGTTAGGGATTACATTTATTAAGTTCGAATGTAATGAAGAACAAACTTTGCGGCCACAGGATTTAAACCAGATAACAGTTGGTGACTTATAGTTATCAATCTTACTATATATAAAGCGAGACGATATATATGGATATATGGATCCGTGCCATTTTACTGACACCACGGCATCAACTTTAACGCGACTTTCCGCAAAAACTGTAAAAGATATACAACTGAAACTTTTTTGACTGGGTCAAATGCTTTAATGGCCTTCAAATCAGCATGAAAAAATGAAAAATTGGCCAAGGAATAAGAATTTTAGTGCCCAAAATTTGGACTCCCAAGTGGTGTCAAAAACGCGAATTAAATAGGTAATAATTATTTTAGTCTCTCGAATCTTGACACCACTTTAGGGTTAGACGGGTTCCTGCTAGTAATAATAATTCAAAGGGCAATTTAGGAGTATCAGATCGTATCAATAGTAAAATAACAATCAATAATAAAATAATAATAACACGGGTATTAAAATTAAATACTTCGTTCCCGTTCTTATATCATATTATCAAGATTTATATTTTAGCCAAATCATTATGCTAGTCGATTATATAGTAATTACACAGTAGATGAACTTATTCAACTTTAGCACTTCATGAAATACATCGTCATCAGTCTGAATCGGACAACAAAAAAGCTGATCTTTTCCTAGGATTAGATAGAACAATTCGTTTACAGTTCAATACTCTGACTTCGGCAGTTTTGACCCAAAATCGAGCACTGTCATCATGATAGGGACAAATTGATGCGGCAGGAATTCGTCTAGATCTGCAGTTGCCCTTTTTTGAAGCAGAGACACTCATTGATAAGATGGTACCGAGGCAACGAAGGGGACGTTTAGCCTTTTTTGGAACAAAGGTAGCACTTAATGGGTCGCCCTTTCGAATTGTTCGACGTTGACAGGGCTTAGAAGAATTTTTGCAGCCCGGTTGGTATGGCACAGAACCCTCGAAACAGCCGGTACCAAAAAATGTCGATCTCCGACTTTTATTTCCAAATATCGTCTTACCAAAATTACAGAACTTCGTAATAGCGGTGTTTTTGTTCATTTTCTTGTTTTTCATAGTAACTTAAGTCATGAAGATCCTTGTCTTCACTTTCACTATCTTTGATACAAAGTGATCATAATTGTAAATTTCTTGGACATGTTGCTTCCAAGATAGTTCAGAATTTCAATTATTTAATGACCATTAATGACCATTAATGACCATTAATGACCATTAATGACCATTAATGACCATTAATGACAATGTCAGTTTTGACAAAATTCCATCTACTGACATTAATGGTCGTTGCAACCCCCCCGTCATACAAATCCCATTTTAAGTTATAGAGCAAGTTATAGGCAAGATATAAAGAAAGCTTATGTGACAGTTGAACTCACCATCCGCGTCTTGCTGGTCTACTTCAACTGGTGCCCACTGTGGTCATTTTATTAGCATGTGTGACTTGCTAGAGGAAGGTTAGGTAGTTATATAACAGAAAATTATAATTACATTGTTAAAATCACAGCCACAAAATTCATTTCAATAATAAATGCAATCAAATTTTGCTAAATATTCTAATTTTTAAAGATAAGAAGATTGTCAACAACAACAATTATTTCGTCCCCCTAAAAACCCATAACACTATCTTTCACGTTGTCACAAAGTTGGTTTACTATTTAAGGAATATGATGAACTGTCACATTAACCTATGCTATGGAGAACTAGGGAATGAGATGAAATATAGCCTAATGAAAAATTAATTCAGACTTCTTCATTGAAAAATCCATTCTCCGCAACATAAACCAATGCAATAGTTAATAGATGTCAATTCCTGGCATTTAAGCTTTAGCAAAACTATTGCATTGCTTGTGGTAAGTACTGTGCCTACGCCTCTAATTATCACATATCGACTCACAGGAGGCAATCAGCAATCCAGCTTATGTTTTCATAATAATAGTGAAACAAATTTTTAGTGAAACAAATTTAAAATTTTATCCTTTATTTTACAATCATAGTATAATAATATTTATAAGCCTCCGTTTTGAAAGTTTTAAATTTTAATACATTCACATTTCTATTTAAAATTCAATTTTATGTACAAGTCAATAACTGGCCGCCAAAGCCGCGCATTCTTGAAAACAGGATTAACTTGATTATAGTTATACGACTATGTAAATTTAAAACTATCCGTGGTTTTTTCTTTTAAATAAATACGTTATTATTTTACCTAAGTCCAAAGCCAGCTTTGAAAAATTTACTATTAAATCATAATATATCGTCAACTTTAAATATTTACAATGCAAAAATTCATTAATCTGTAAACACGCGTACTCCAGCCCCTAAATGCATAAATTGTTATGCGGCGCGGCTCAAGCCGCGCACGCACGTATTATTTTATACTGTTTGCTTTCTAATAAATATCGTGCCAATGTGTACGTCTAAATTGTAAACGTTCATGTTTTGTGTAAAGTGAATCCAATTGGGACTAGTGACAAGGATAAGGACCCAAGTGCCTGTACGGCTTTTTCGGACCCCTGTGGACCACTACTCTTGAAATCACTCTACAACATTGAACATTTATATCTACTACGTCATTTGGCAATTATTGTCATTAATCTAACTTTCTAATTAATTGCCGAGGGGGAGGAGTAAACGCTTCACATTAAAATTCAATATACAAAATTCAAAACCATCAATACGGTATTAAATATTATGGACAAATCTATAGATCTATTTCGTAGTCATATATTCACATGATTTGCTTTATATTATCTTAATACTGTAATGAAGTACAGTAGGATTTGTGTTTCGAGAAAGAAAGGTTGCGGTCAAATTATTAACAAAAGTAAACAAAAGTCCATCAGGGACTCCGTGGAGTCGAAAAAGGTACACGGCTGCTGTCTGGTGCTGCTAGGCATTTATTGATCAAGATGTTTTATTGTATTGATTTATAATGATTCTATTGTTCGTGACTAATCAAGTTCTAAGTGGAGGTATAAAGTGCTGCTCAAGATACTTCGTCATCTCATGTCCAGTATAATGATTAAGATAGTATACAATGCAGTTTTAGTAGTTGACCCATACAGTTAAGTCCGTCATAACTCACAATCGTTAAGTCGTCGGTCAATTGTCAGAGTCGTTGTGTGTTTATTCGTTGAGATAGCAGTAAGATAAGATGTTACGCGCGCGCGCGTTTAATCCCGTCGACGTGAGATGTGACAATGAAAACGCCATAGAATTATTATTTTCGCGCGTTACGTAGAGTTTACCAGTGTGTAATACTAGTTAACACTGGGTGTACACTGAGTGTAAGTGTAAGTTTCATATACAAGCCGTTGAATATTTCCAATTTTGAGTGTATCGTGAGCATGTTTTTAATATAGAAGTTAAAAATAAAAATTTTAACTTCTATATTGTCCCGAAGAAGGGTGATATCTCCCACTGCTCCATTAATAGGGTATCACTCTTAGATCTACAGCATCTTTAGTAACAAATTATCATATTTGCTACTATTACAACACAGAGTGACGGTTTAGAAGGTTTGCTACGAGACAATCAGTGTGGGTTTAGGAAGAACAGGTCATGCATTGATCAGATTTATCCACTCAGCACCATTATACATAACTGCCTTGAATATAATCTCCCCCTGTTTATAAATTTTGTAGACTTCAAAGCAGCTTTTGATTCAATTGACAGGAATTATATTTGGAAAGCTTTCAGTCATTATGGCCTGCCATGTAAATACATCCGAATTATACAGGCATTCTTTAATGGAACTGTCAGTGCTGTCAGACACAACAGTGAATTGTCAAAATGGCTTGAAGTAAGTTCTGGTAGTGGCCAAGGAGACATTCAGGGTCCCCACTTTTTAATGTCTGCCTCAATGTGGCTGCTGAGAGAACAGAGAGCAACAAAGTGGTGTCTCACGGAGCGGTTCTTCAAAGATCTATCAGTCAGCTTGTTGATGATATCACTGTGTTAGATACGGATTATGCAGATGACATAGCTGTACTGGATAACAGCGAGGAAGGTCTTCTAGAAACAACTGACCTTTTGTGTATGTATGTTGCCCAGGGAGGTTTTAAAATCAATGGTAAAAAGACTGAGGCTATGGTAATTGTTAAAGCAACCTCTCAAAGCAACCTCTCTGCAGCATCTTGCTGGAAGATGCTGCAGTGTTTTCAGGAAACACTAATATAGATCTAGAAGGAGTGAGCGAGATGACTAGTGACCGCAAAATCTGCAGGGAGATGATACGACACAAACAGGAGTTCATTGGTGCAGGTCACTCAAATGATTGAGGAGACCTAATTAATAAAAGTAAGTACAACAACTTTTAAAATGTGCACACGAAAACACTTCAGGACAAAAGAAAACCTGAAAAAGCGATCCACAATTAGATTCTATTCTAAACCATACTAAAAATTGAAAGACTTGATGCAATAAATACCAAGGTAAAGAGGTATGCACTTTTCAGTAGAGACATTTAAAAATTCTTGGATTAAAAGAGGTAGTAGCTTAAGAAACTATTCGGGAAAATGCTGTCAGATTTATAAGAGATATGAATGATGCTACTGAATTGATATTGCAAACACATTCGATGCCTTCAATGGAAATGTGGCTCTGTTCATCATGACACTATCATGCTCAGAATTACCAACTTTACCAACTAATGTAACCAATATTTATATATTTGTCATCAAAATGAGAAAAATGAAATTATCAGACTGCCAAAATGAATGCATGTAAACACTTTAAAAAAATCTAACACTTATTTAACTTCGGACATTCCAACAGCCGCATTGTTACACAAGTGTAACCAGCCAATTATAGGAAACCGAAGGATTCTATTATACATTAGGCCAGTGACGGTTAAAGTAGTGTACCATAGGTTTTTATTCTGGTACATAAATACCTAGACTCTAGATACCTATTTTGAAATCAGAGGGAACAATAGGTATTTAAAGGTATTTTACCAAAGATAGTCTAGGGCAGCTAAAAGTTACATTTTTTTTATTTTTACAATTACACCCCAACTCACCCACATATGACAAAAAAGATATGGAACAGATCTATAAAGCTCATGAAATGAGGAAAATGAAAAAGTACAACAACAGAATCATCCAGGTGGAAAAAGGCACCTTTACCCCACTTATATACTCAACAAATGGCGGATGGGGTCCACAAGCCACAAGATACCACAAGAGACTCGCTGAAAAACTATCCCAGAAGAGAGGAGAAGACTATGCGGCTATTATGTGTTACATGCGCACCAGGATTAGATTCTCAATCCTCAGGAGCACCCTGATAGCGGTCAGGGGTGAGAGAGGGAGACGGCAATCGTATACATTGCCAGTCAGTGTAACTTCTTTTAACTTGATACCTGCCACCATGGACTATGAATGTTTCTAGACACTATCCTTTTGATATTGAGATATTGGTATCTCAGATCACGTGTACATCGTTCCTTTTTTTATGACACATTAATTTATTGACACTCACAGCTATAATTTTAATCATTGAATCAGTATTTTTATCTGTGCTCTGCGTAATGCATCACATGAATCAGTTTTTTAATCTATTAACTTATTACACATTTGTGCTCTGCTTTAGCATCACTTGACTATTTAAAAAAATTGTTTGTTCAGGCCATGACCTTATAGTCAGCCAATTGGCCATTGCTATATTATGTGTATATTGTTTGAATATTCTTATCTCTGTACAACGTGCTCAAAATACTTGATTCAGTTTTCAAGATTGAAAGATCATTCAAACAGTATAATTATAATAATTATAATTCTATACAGTTACATAATTGAAACAATTATGGCCCCTTATTGTATGATAATAGTATGATATCTAGTAATTGATAGCTGATTTCTGATTGGAAATTTATTTATGCTGCATGGTGTTATGACTATTGGTATATACTATAATATTTATCTATAAACTTGATTCATTTTTCCAAAAAAGTTACATTTTTGAAAGTTTCAGAAGGTTGTGAGCAACATCGATTTTAAGAAATTTCAGGTGAAAATTTTATGATTTTTACTTACTGTTCATTTTAACTTTTTTGGAAATAAGAGAGAAAAGCCCATGATGAGAAAAGCCCATATTGAGGTGAGATAATTGAGCCAGATCTTCTCGACAATCATAGCAATTTCGGATACAGACCAGATATATATGAAAGAGCAAATTTGGGTTTACCTCTCAGTGCTCGTGGGCTGCAGTCAACATGTAAGCTCACATTCTTTGATGTAAGGATTTTCATTTTTTACCTATATTCCATACAAACTGTAACTGTTAATTCAAAGGCTTTATAGGACCGATATTGGATGGGAAGAGGAATCTTAAACAAGGAAGGTTCTCAAGAACAGAACAATGGTCTTACAGAAAAACATATTTTATGTTTACTGAACAGTACCCTAACAAGATGCAAGATTGTCGTTTCCTCTAACTTTCGAGTC